AGCCCTCGCCAGTGCCTGGGGTGGATTTAAAAAATCTATACCGCATAGAATGCACCATAGAATGCCTATATATGCGAGAAAGAATGCCACATAGAATGCCAGAATATGTGCCAGATAGAGCGCCAAAATATATACCAATTAAAATTTGGGAAGATATGCCAGATAGAATATCAGAATAGATGCCAGATAGAATGTTAGGCAAGATGTCAAAATATATGTCAGAATATATATGACTTGCAATGCCAGGGTGGGGATCACTCGATGTAAAGTAATTGGTTGTATCAACATCGCAGGCTCTTTTTGCAGGGAAGTGCGAGAAAATAGAAGAGGGGATAAACGCATTAGACCGTCATATCCAATCATATTCTATCTATAAGTTTCTGCCTGGATTTCAAGGTTAAACCCCTTTACTTACTTTGATTGTATCAACGCCGCAGGCTCTTTTTGCAGAGAAGTGCAAGAAAATAGAAGAGGGGATAAACTCATTAGACCGTCATATTCAATCATATTCTATCTATAAGTTTCTGCCTGGATTTCAAGGTTAAACCCCTTTACTTACTTTGATTGTATCAACGCCGCAGGCTCTTTTTGCAGGGAAGTGCGAGAAAATAGAAGAAGGGATAAACTCATTAGACCGTCAGCGTCATATTCAATCATATTCTATCTATAAGTTTCTGCCTGGATTTCAAGGTTAAACCCCTTTACTTACTTTGATTGTATCAACGCCGCAGGCTCTTTTTGCAGGGAAGTGCAAGAAAATAGAAGAGAGCCTGCGTGCTGCGTTTCGATCATTTATCGGGGCTGACACGCCAAAAGAGAACAAATCCGAAAAAGCCAGCGTTGTTTGGAATGAGTTCAAGAAGGTCTTTCAGGCCACGGTGGATGTAGGCACTCATCAAATGGTCAAAGAATTTGCGGTGAAGGAGGATGCCCAACATTGGGCGGACCTAGTGCATTCGCTCCAGCAATCAGGCAAACTCAAGGGTCACTGTTCGGTGATCCAAAAGGCAGAGGCAAACAGAAAAGCAACGCAGGCAGCTTATGACCAGATTCTGTCGGGCAAAGGGGTGTTCTCAGCTGAAGACAACCCAAACTTTCAGAATGACCCAAAACTTGGCAAAGATGTTTGGGGCACCATGTTCTCCAGATACAAAGAACCCAAAGAATCAATGCCTGGCAGCGAAATCCGAGTTCATAGGGGAAGCCTGGAAGAGATTACGGTCATGGGGTCCAAGCAGTGCATCCAAGCAGATCTACTTGGGTGGAAGCACAAAACTCTGGGATGGCGGGTTGTCCGCATACTTCACCACAATGGTCAACAAGAAGCTCGTGAATTGGTTGCTCAACAAGCTGAAGATTTGGAGCTTGCTCATGTGGGTTTTATCCGTTGCACGGGGGATTCATCCCACCCAGAGATGACTGATGAAGACAAAATTCAACTGAAAAGCTTGAGTGCAAAAGTTCCAGAAGCAGTTGCTGTGATTGTAGGCTACAAGGTGATCACTGGGGTGCTTAGAACTTTCGCCCTTGCAACAGCCAAATCTACTGGTTCTGGATTCACCGAAGTTGAGTTGGGTACCATTGTTCGCCGGGTGGAGGGAGAAAAGTTTTTGGTATGCCCTGCCATTTCAAAGCCTTCCTGGAAAGATGTGTTGGATTCCAAAGTTCAAGACCATTTCTACAACAAATTGAAGGAAAGCATGCAAAAACCGCAGGAAGAGGAAATGGCACGATTCAAGAGAGTCCACATTCTTGGGGATGGCCATTGCTTCTGGCACAGTTTCCTTTTTTGGAACCTTCAAGATGAATACCTACCAGTCACACGAAATCCCGGTGGAGGCCCCAAGAATCCACAAAGGCTTTTGGAGGAAGTTCGACGCGCGAAAAAACTTTGGCAAGAAGTGCAAGAACTTGTCAAGGGTGCTTCTTCTCTTCCAGCTTCTTTTTTGGATGACATCACCAAATCCCCAGTTGTAAGCGTGGCAAACATTGAGAATGTGGCCAAAGCCATGAAGTCCCACTTCCGAGTTACTATCGATCCAGAGGCGGGCAGCTGGTTAAAATTAATTTAAAATTTAAACGGCAAGAAAATATTTTGGGAAATATTCTATCTATGGGTTTCACTACTGTAATCCTACCTAAAGGGCCCCCTTAGCAACACCCTATCAAGACTGTACACAAGGATCTACCCTCCGGTAATCAAACCTGGCAATGGAATTCCCTCCAAACGATTTGTTTACTCTAATGGGCAATCATCTACACATAGAAGATTTTCCATTGCCAGGTTTGATTGCCGAAGGGTCGCGCGGGCATATTCTAACATATTCTATCTACCAAGCCTGAGGTGCTGGATTTTTCGATGGAATGCCAAGCTGATGCTATGTATGGCAACCCTTTGCATCCATTTGGTGGGCACCTTTGGTTCACATTTTTGAAGGATGGTTCTGGCCAGGCCACCTCTGGCCACTATGACCTTTTGCTGCCTTCCGAAACAGGTGCCATCAAATTGAAGAAGACAATACCCTCCAAACAGCCCGAATGCCATCAGCAGCTCGAAAAGGACCCCCCAGTGATTCAGAATGAGAACGTTGAACCGATTCCGGAACCAAGTCCGATGGATATAGGTAGAGGGGAAGAAGCACACAGTGATCCAAAAGCCGCAGGTGGGGATGAGCAAGGTTCGTCGCCAAAGTTGGAACCTACCTTGGACAACCTCCACAATGTCTCCAAAATCATTGCTGTCAATTCTCATTGGCACTCCTTGATCTTCTCAGGCGCAAAGACTTGGGAACTTCGTTCAACCTCGTGGAAGTTTAGAGGGGATGTGGGGATTTGGAGCGGTAGTCGAGTACATGGCTTGGTGACTATTGTGGGCTGTCAGCTGGTGGCTTTGAAGTCTGCAACAGGGGAATGGGAACCCTTTGATGAATCAGAAAATGCTGTTGAATCGTTTGTCCTTGCTGATCACAACATTGAGAAGCATCAAGTTCCAATGGAGAACTTCTTCTGGGAAAATCATGGACAAGGATCTATGCCTACACCCTTGCGAACCCTCGGGAGTTTTCTAGATCTATTCCTGTGAAGATCAAGGTTGGTGCACAGTTTGTGCAAAACATGGACGTCGATTTGTGGCGGGAAGCGTTGCGGCAGCCGGCAGCTCCAGAGAAACCGCAGGAATCACTACGAGTACTGGGAATGTCCAGAAAAGAGGTCTTCAGAATCATGGATACTGATGTGACATTGCTGGTCAAAAATCAGAAAACTTCTACTGGAGCAATTCATTTGGCTATCTTCGAACATGGAACTGCAATCATCATCGGGAAGATTATGGTTTCTGGTTTTCATGAACTCCGAAGTTTCAAAACCCTCCGGAAACTGGTGGATGATGGCTACAACCACTTGCTGGAGGAGAATTGCAAATTGTTTCAGCCTTTGAGATCTACGACTGCAGAAAGTAAGAGTCTATGGGGCTGGACGATTGAATCGAAGGAAATGATCCATCCACCCCTGTTGTGGAAATCGGAATCTTGTCATCATTTTTCACGCGCGTTCCCGGTACTCTGTGCAATTCCACACGCGATTTTTGGGGTGTACCCAATTGAGTTATATACAGTATTCTATATCCATGAAGGTTCTTAAGTTCTTCGCTCTTCCTGCTGAAACCCCCCACAGGTGCTGTGAACCATAGATAGAATATGATCCATTTGGGAAAAGAGATTCCGCTGGGGGATATTCGAACTATCAATGCCCCTGACAATCCTTTAGACCGGGCATAAGTTCACCAACCCAATGGAGGGTGGAAATGGGATAGGGTCGTGTGGGGATATTTTGGGATATACAACCAAATTACGGTCACGGGACCATGAGTCGCCTGGTTACGAAACCATTATCCAGGTATTCTGCCCATTGGAAATCAGACGTCAGGCAAAGGTGGCAATTTTTCATCATCCTGAAAACTAACGCCGCTACATTTTTTTTTTGCATTGCAACTTGGCCAGGTGTTTTAAGAACTGTGCTGGGCTGGGCGATTGCAGCGAATTGCGCCCAGCAAAACTGAAAGACACGCTTTCTCAGCAGAGGGTTGACCTGGCTGCCATGTGGGCCATTGATCTTTCGGTGGTAGTTGCTTGGCAAAAAGTCTTTCAATGCCCCCCCAACCCCCCCACACAAGCGTAGCATGAAGTGTTGCGTGCAAGATGATGAGGCAGCGTGCAAGCGTAGCATGACGTGTTGCGTGCAAGATGATGCGGCAGCGTGCAAGCGTAGCATGACGTGTTGCGTGCAAGATGATGCGGCAACGTGCAAGCGTAGCAGGACGTGTTTCGTGCAACATGATGCGGCAGCGTGCAAGCGTAGCATGACGTGTTGCGTGCAAGATGATGCGGCAACGTGCAAGCGTAGCAGGACGTATTTCGTGCAACATGATGCGGCAGTGTGCAAGCGTAGCATGACGTGTTGCGTGCAAGATGATGAGGCAACGTGCAAGCGTAGCATAAAACCTAGCTACAAAAAAAAAGAAGTCCAGGCGAACGCAGCAAAAGGAACGTGATTACCCCCCCCCCACCCCCCCCCCCACACAAGCAAACAGCCAGGCGACCTGTGGTCCCGCCAGCAACTATGACCACATGTAGCGTAGTGCTGTACCCACTTGAAGTGTATCTGTTTTTTCCTCTCACATCGGAAACATCCAACAGGTCCATCGGGACCATAGATAGAATATCCCAATCACCTCTATTTAGGCTTTTCAGGTGGTTTTTGAAGATTTTTGGCGTAAATGGACAAGTTGTAATGGGAAACGATGTTTTTCGGGTTGATGAACTTTCTCCAGTATACACTATTCATGACATTGAGGGAACCCAAGATAGAATATCTACAAAGGACCAAAACTGCCTTCTGAGGAATTTCGCAACATGCCGAAGGTGCGGGTGATTCCCATGACAGAGATCGACCAAGATGGACAACCACTAGAAAGCACATGGTGGAAAGGTCAGCTACCCCCAATGGATCTGAAGTCCATTGCGCACCACTTCATTGACAGGCTTTCCTGCGGTGAGCTGGAAATCTTGGAGAAGATTGCGGTGGGCTTATCTTCTGATGAGTCTGAAGGTGTCAGGGTTGGAACAACATGCTCTGGCATCGAATCAGGCATCATGGTTACCAAAGCTTTGTTTGCGGCCATCAACGAAAGGTTTTCCAGGTCCAATGTGCGGGTCTACGGTGCCTTTGCAGCTGAAATCAACCCTGAAAAACGGCAGTTCATCATAGATGCCCATGGGGAAGACGTGGAGCATGTCTTCGGTGATGTGTCCTGTTTTGCGGATGAGACCGCTTACTGCTACAAAACACAAGCCTATGTGCGCATTCCAAAAGTCTTCCTCAAGGTTTCCGGCACGAGCTGTGTCAATTTGAGCCGGGAGCGGTCAGATCGTGCAGACTTTGCGGACTGCTACTCAGAAGGGAAGGGGGAGTCTGGACACACCTACAAGTTTGGCTACTTGAAAGCGATTCAGACAACTGGTGCTCAAGTCACTGTCTATGAGAATGTGCTTGATTCCAGCTACGCCCTCAAAGATGGTGACGGTGTAGCGCAGCAACCAGCCACCGAGATCATCGCACAGGATCTTCAAGAGCACGGGCATGCCTTTGAGTTTTCCAAGTGTTGCTCATCCGGGTTCCTCTTGCCACAGAGACGGTCAAGGGTTTGGGGATCATCCTGCCAGGATGAATCTCCATCTGAGTACGGGCTTCAGATGAGACTCTCCATGCTGCGGATGCAGGGATCTATGAAGTTTCCGTTGGATAGCATTTTGGAGAAGGATTTGTCCCAAGTAGAGCCAAAATCAACGACCTTGATCTCTCACATCACAGCAGTGAGAAAGATCTGTGCAAAGAGGGGGCTAGACGTGAAACAGGTCACCCTGGACACTGCCGCAAGTGCCTCTCGAGGACCAGAATGGAGCCATGGCCTGCTGACATGTGTCAGGCCATCACACAACATCTACCATTTGGGCTTGAAACGAATGATCCTGGGGAAAGAGATGCTTTTGGCACATGGTATCTTCCCAGACAGTCCCTTGCCAAAACAACAAACTTGTTTTTCTTCATTGGCCTGGGGGCTGTGTCTTCAAGCCATTTGGAAAATACAATTTGGGCTCATATCTTAGCATGTTCCTTCGGTTTTTGCGTTTTGCGTTGTGCGTTTTGACCGTGCTAAGGCCCATATATCACATATCTCCTCTATAGATCCGATAGATAGAATATTTTTTACTTGATCACAGCCTTTGTCGATAAATGTTTAGAAGCATGCTGCCCAGGTTTCAGAAACCGTGCGGCTGTCGAAGCCTTGCTACAAAATGACAGTCTATGCCGAGACTTCGCTGGCAATGCGTTCAGCACAACTGTTTTGATGGCAAAGATCCTCTGCACCATTGTGACTCGGCAGTTTTCAGTAGCAAGAGGGTTTGGGGGCATGCATGCAGACCTGCTTCCGGTTGCCAAGACCTGTAGATAGAATATGGAAACTGATGATATTCCATGGAAGCCTCAGGTGAATGGAGTCGCTTGGAAGAAGCTGGCTGGTGTTGAAACGGCTCGTGAGCCTTCTCTTGGGCCTTCAATTTTGGGTGCCTGCCTTTCCTCGTCTGCACCAAAGACCTTTTCCCAAGCTGGCTCTTCAGGGTCCAGCAAGAAGAGATCAAGCGAAGCGACCAGCAGCAGCCACGTTTCGAAGCAAAGGCGGATCTCAACGGCTGGATCGGGAACTTTGGGATCTGCAAGTGCCTCTGCTTCTTCGGCCTTCAAAGAGGAGAGTCAAGATTCGCCAACACCTCCAGGTCCAGATTCACAGGTTCCAGAGGATGGAGCAGCAGTTGTGGGTGACTCTTCCGATCCTCCTGATGCTGAGGAACCTCCTGACACAACTGATGTCCCCAAAACATCCGGAAAAAGGGGAGACAATGGGAAAAGCAAGAGCCTCACCATCAAGAAGAAGCTGGAACTTCTCCAGATTCTGAAGGAGCTGAAAGAAAGTGGGGAGTACAAGTATCCAGAGAAGGCCGACGGCCAAAGTTTTTTCGGGTGCTTACTTTTTAAAGGGTTAAAACCATATTCTATCTATAGGTCCTGCGGTGAGATTAGCCACAAAAAGATTAAAAAAATTATATATTTGCAGAACCCTTTGCTAGGTGATGGTTGCCAAGCATGGGAAGGACGGCTACTTTCAGGGGGCAGGCTCCAAGAACAAGTGGCCAGCTGCCAGGGCAAAATACCATTGGGACACTGTCGCCGAGCTTGCCCCAAAAGTTGCGGAGAAGTTTTGCGAGACACCCAATTGGCTTCGGGAGAGATTGGAAATCCATGGCAGAAAAGGAAATGGGACCTACAAGATCAGCGGCGGCATTTACGACTCGGTGGATGCAGTTCTATCTGAAGCTGTGCAAGCGGGGATGGAGCTCAACACATGCAGTGTGGAGGAGGTTCTCCTGGACGCCATTGAGACCTACAACAAAGAAGTCGTTGCTTGGAGAGAAGCCAGAGAAAAGGCCGACTTGGCGGCATTGAACCAACTTTGTGATTCTGGAGCGAGTGAAGAGGAAATGGCTAGAATGACAGAGGAGCAATTGAAAGCCAGAGAGTCTTGGCCATCTCTGTGCAATGTGGGGAAAACTCCAAGGGCATTGAATCAGCTGGCCTTGGACTTTTGCACCAAGTATGGGTATGCCAACTACAGGCAGGACAAGCCCCAGAAACACCTGCCACGGGATCATCCAGCCATTCAGCGAGTCACTCAATTTCTTTGGATGACGGTGGCCGAGGGAGAAGTGAACCCAAAGCTGGTTGGTCACTGGGACCAGGTTGGGGTTGGGGAAACAGTAGATAGAATATATCCACCGTTTGTATCCCTGTTGAAATAACCCCTGTAAAATGGGGGGACCTGTGAGACCCTACTAAAAACCAAATTACAGACTGGAAATGTTTTTTTCAGAGTTTACTGTAAAATGAACCTGGAGGTATGCATTTTACAGGAGGCTAATTTTGAGTATGTTTTGGTAACTGATAGACTTGGAAGATCCATTTTACAGTTCCTTTGTTGGGTTTTTTCCAATTTGAAATATCCATTTTACAAAGCTATTGGGTTGGACAGAATATCAAGGAACCTGGTATAACCATTCTATTGGATAGAACCCGGTTCTCCATTATACAGTCGGTGATAGTTTTGCACCCGGCACAAGGCATTGGCTCACCCAACTTTTCATGGCTCACCCCGAACGCTTGTTGTGGACGGAAGCGCCTGTACCTGGCTCCATTGGGGCGGGGCAGGGACAGTGGAAGTCCACGAGCCTTCCTTTTCTCTTCTTCTTTGCTGCTCTTCCCTTTTTTCCCCCAACTTTTTCATGGCTCACCCCGAACGCTTGTTGTGGACGGAAGCGCCTGTACCTGGCTCCATTGGGGCGGGGCAGGGACAGTGGAAGTCCACGAGCCTTCCTTTTCTCTTCTTCTTTGCTGCTCTTCCCTTTTTTCCCCCAACTTTTTCATGGCTCACCCCGAACGCTTGTTGTGGACGGAAGCGCCTGTACCTGGCTCCATTGGGGCGGGGCAGGGACAGTGGAAGTCCACGAGCCTTCCTTTTCTCTTCTTCTTTGCTGCTCTTCCCTTTTTTGCCCCAACTTTTTCATGGCTCACCCCGAACGCTTGTTGTGGACGGAAGCGCCTGTACCTGGCTCCATTGGGGCGGGGCAGGGACAGTGGAAGTCCACGAGCCTTCCTTTTCTCTTCTTCTTTGTTGCTCTTCCCTTTTTTCCCCAACTTTTTCATGGCTCACCCCGAACGCTTGTTGTGGACGGAAGCGCCTGTACCTGGCTCCATTGGGGCGGGGCAGGGACAGTGGAAGTCCACGAGCCTTCCTTTTCTCTTCTTCTTTGCTGCTCTTCCCTTTTTTCCCCCAACTTTTTCATGGCTCACCCCGAACGCTTGTTGTGGACGGAAGCGCCTGTACCTGGCTCCATTGGGGCGGGGCAGGGACAGTGGAAGTCCACGAGCCTTCCTTTTCTCTTCTTCTTTGCTGCTCTTCCCTTTTTTTCCCCAACTTTTTCATGGCTCACCCCGAACGCTTGTTGTGGACGGAAGCGCCTGTACCTGGCTCCATTGGGGCGGGGCAGGGACAGGGGAAGTCCACGAGCCTTCCTTTTCTCTTCTTCTTTGTTGCTCTTCCCCTTTTTCCTCAACTTTTTCATGGCTCACCCCGAACGCTTGTTGTGGACGGAAGCGCCTGTACCTGGCTCCATTGGGGAGTATCTTGAATACGATTGAAATTGATCTTGCATGATCTTGGAGTATCTTGGATTGGAATTTCATGGAATTTCCATTTCCATTTTTCATGGTATCTTCCATTTGCCATTTTACAATAGGCCAGGGTTGACCCCAAATAAAACAAGATGTTAAGTTTGGGATATTTGACCTGATTTTTCAAATGTTGGTATATCCATTTTACAGTGGCGAGCCATTTTGCATTTTATGGTTTAAGGTTTGACCTAACCATTTTACAGCAACTCTGGGTTAGCCATTCTACAGCAAAAAAGTTGTTTTTTTGTTAAAAGATAACCATATTACAGGCATTTCCCATTCTACAGTGTAAAATGGTTGTTCCAAGTACCCCCTGTTTATTTCAACGGGGACCCGTTTGTTTCGAATACTGTGTTGAATTTTCGCCACTATAGTATATAGTTGGTCAGTCAGTAGGACCCACTCGGGTTGGGGGAAACCAAAGATAGAATATACTCACTACAGCCATCACCCGTTTTCAACCGCTACTATAAGTCTCAAGATTGCAGTTGCAGGTGTGGACCTGCTTATTTGAGCCTATGAAGAGATGCTTGTGGAAAACAGGAGAAGGTCGAAAGGATTCACTCGCAGCCTATCCAGCCCGTCAAGTGGTCAGGAAGGTAATCCAAGAACGATTTGGGCAAAATGTTCAAATCCCAAAGTTTGAGAAGGACAAGACATGGGTTGCCAATTTGGCTGACGTTTCTGGCTATAGTTGCCAGAACAGCGTTTCCAGGTGGAGGACTGTTCCGGGGCAGCGGCGGTTGGGGCAAGCTGCTCGTAGCACCATTTTCAATCACCAATGCATGGGGTGAATGATGACCATCTTTAGAAGATCCAACAATTTTTAAGTTATTTATTTTTTTGGCCGAGATGTTGCTAACAAAAGCAAAGCTATTGGTAATGTCTGATCTTGGCCCAAGAGGCAAGGAAATAGGTTAGTTGCATTCTCTTGGAAGCCCTGGGTGAAACACACAGGGCGACATGAGTGCTGCCATGTTTATCGAAGCTATGATTTGGCTTGGGTGCGCTACACTCGCTCTTGGCGTGTACAAGGTTGCCAAGTGTTTGGCTCTATGGGTGTCAGGAAACTACATCGTGATGACAAGGGTTGGAAAAACATCAGCGAAAGGATTTACCACCCGTGAGGCCCGTGGAGATTTGGAGCATCAACTTGCTCAGATGACCCGGCTGAACGAAATGCTGCAAGATGAAATCCGACTGCTAAAATTGGAGTCGGAAGATTGCCCGGGTTCAGATCGTACTTTCAATGTAGCCAAATCAGCAATTTATGTCACCAGCTGCGGGGATCGTTTTCACACTAACCCTGCCTGTGGCTCTATCAAGAATCATGGTTACAAAGAATTGCAGCCATGTGCATTTTGTAGCAAAAGGGATGCCAAGAAGTCTACCTGATTTCATTCTAGATCATGCTCTCAGAGCACTATGGCTTTGCCATTGGTCGCATTGGTCCCGAGACTACGCATGTGGCGAGAAAAACCATGCTTCACCTTTTGGGCTTGGCTCAGGGATTGTGTCTTTTCTTTCCCAGGCGTGATCAAGAAGGAAATTTGGGGTTTGCCTAGTTGGGATATATGCGCCAACTTTATCTCTGTGGATATATGGGGTAATCTCAGAAGGGTGGTCCCAACCATAGATAGAATATATTCTGTTTTTCCATAAATATGGATGATTAAAAAAAATAATACCACGGGTCTCCACCCGTTGCTGCCAGCATCATCCGATTTTGGCCAGGAGTCTCTTAATCCCCCTTATTCAGTGTTCGTAAATGAGGGGATAACCCGAAACATACCCAATAGAGATTGGCGTGGTGGTGTCACTCAATTCTTTTCTTTCATCAAGGGAACATAGATATATGGGGTAAACTCAGAAGGGTGGTCCGAATTATAGATAGAATATGTTCGGGTGTTCCACAAACATGGGTGTGTAAGCTCCAAAATGGGTTGATTTTGCGGAGGGATTTAGATTTGTGTTTCTTTCCAAACAACATACCACGGGTTACCTCTTCACCACCAGTGTCATCAAATTTTAGCCAGAAGCCCCTTCATCTTCCCTATACACTGTTAGTAAATGAGGAGATAACCCGAAAAATGTGCAATAAAGAGTCGTACGGTGTTGTCACTCAGTTCTTTTCTTTTACAAGGGTATCATGGATACATGGAGGTTTCCTCAGACAGGCGTGCCCCCAACCATCCAAAATCAAACCCTTTGAGTATTGAACCCATGGTTTTTGCGTACCCCCTATTTTAGGAAACGCTCATATGGGTATTCCCAAAAGGGTGGCCGCAACTATAGATAGAATGTGGATGAATGTGGTGTGGTTTTCCACAAAACAAACACGGGTGTCTAACCACAAATTGGGTTGATTTGGTGAAATGTGTTGACATTTTCAACATAACATGCGGTGGATTGAAGAAATCCTGCACCAGTTGGTATATGGTTTACCCCAAAATAATCTCATTGTTTACAATCTTTTGTAGTCACCTCAGGGTTGCCAACTGGTGCAAGATTCCTTCCATCCACACTTATCTCTCCACCTACTCCTACTAGACCTGCTCCTACTAGTTACCACTTTATCTTCCCAATCCATTGTTATAGAACAAGTGTGGGGATAATCCGATACATACCCAACGACATATATTGCTGATATCCGCTACTGACAGGTATTTTTGACATATATTCTGACAATCATGGTTTCAAGAAGATGTCATTTACTTACTTCGAGTGATCCCCACCAAACATTTTATCTGACATTTTTTTTGGCATTCTTTCTGTCATATATTCTGGCATTGTATATGTATGATGACTAGTGAGGTATGAAAGCACCATAGATAGAATTTCCCCGCCACCTTTTCTTCATTGGACTCTGTAGGCTCCTTGCTAAAAGTATTTTGCTTTTCCTGGTGTAGAATTTTACATTCTGTTCAGCCCGCTGCACCTTCCAGGATGCCACGGACCACAACAACAGTGAGTTGGATAACAGGAGACATGGGATTTGCCTACGTCACTGTTCCGGAGGGGTCAGTTGACCCCAAGGAGATGAAAGCAATGAACGAGGAGTTTGAAGGTATGCTGGTCATTGACAGCTCAAGCACCGATTCTCACATGTGGAGTGGGCCCACTTGCATTCGGTTCTTTGAGAACTTGACCATTGAACTTCGGAAGAGGAGAGCTGCAATCGGTTGTCAGGATGTTTCTGAAAAGGCACTTCTGTTTTGCGATCGTTGCACTTCGCACCTCTCCAAGACTTACTTGGACTTACGAAGGCAGTGGGCATCGCAGCAGAATGTCTTGCTGGTTGGCACAGATCCAACTGCAGATGTTCAAGTGCCAGGGGGCTGGGGACTGTCCAGCAGTCCCAACGACGCTTGGCATGGACATTTTCACCAGCTCCGGATGGCATACATGAGGGCAGCGATGCGTCTTCCACTCAACCCCCTCCATTGCAACCTAGTGGACTTCGAGATCTCTTGTGCTGGCATTCCTTCTTTGACGTGCCCCATGCGCACGTCGTTATGTGCAGACGCATGGGCACTGCAGAATGTTGCCAAGCTTGGGTCTGGGAAGACCCTTTTGTGGGCATGGATCACAAGGGGGTACCTGGAACCCCAAGTTGCTGCGGATTGGCATTTTGAAGGTGGGGAAGGTTTCTGTTCAGTTATCCATGGGTAAAACTGTAGATAGAATATGGATGAATATGGCCTTATTGATGACTTCCCGTGGCATCATGGTAGAAGGCTAGACGAAAGAAAGTAGCTGGTTCAAATTTCAACCCATTTTGTAGGGCTCTGTTCGTTCTCTTTTCTTCTGGTCGCAGGAGATCTGGCGAAGCTAGAAGAAGCAATGAAAAGAGTTCGGGGTGCTTACAGCACGTTGCACAACATGACGCAAGCTCCAACATTGGATGCAAGTTTTGAGCTCAGTTTTTCTTGCAAATCAAAGCTAGCAATGCTAGCAAAAAGGGTATTATACATTATTATACAATCAGTTGTTAGTTCCGCACAGAGTTCAGCAGTAGCAGTAGCAGGAGTAGCAGGAGTAGCAGGGGTAGCAGTCAGCAGTAGCAGCAGTAACCCCACATTTCCAATGGGACACCTATAGATTCTATAGATAGAATATTGCGTTTCCATATTTTTCTGTATTTCCTACTATCCAAGGTGCCTACAAGCTCGCATGGCAGAAGGCAAAGGTCCCCCTGAAGGGCGAGAAGATCAATTGTTGGTTCATCAAGACTGAGGACCCAGAGCCTGTGCAGCTGCCCCGCTACTTTACCAGTCCACTTGAGATCTCCATGGCCCAGTGGATGGAAACCAGGAAGAAGTGGGATGCAGCCATTGCCAACAGAGCACGGCTTGGGCGCACACTTCCACCCAAGGACATGAACGCCTACCAGAGTTTTCTGAAAAATTCATTCAGGAAGCTGGTCTTTAACACTGAGTTGAAGATGTACATGGCTCGTCCATCGAAGATGCCAGCATCATCATTGCAGAGTTCAGTGGTGGTTGAGGTGAAGATGTCCCTTGACCCAGCGCACTTGGCTTTGAGATTCAATGATGGACCGTTCTTTCATCTCTTCGTTCGCGAATTCGAAATGTCCAATGCTCCAACTTTTGTTGATGAGTTGCATGAGAAAGTGGCTCCAAAAAGTGAGCCGGAAGATTTGCCAGCAGAGAATCATGATGAGGAACATGGAGAAGACGATTTGTCAGAACATGATTCTGAATTCGAAGATGTACATCCAGACATTTTAGAATACGCAGGCTCAGCACCAAAGGCATCTTGGGCCGTGGGGCCATGCCATGAAGGCATGGAGTGATTTTTCGTTCTGGGATTGGATGCCAAAAGAAGAGCAAGAAGAACTCTAAGTCTCTAAGTCTCAAGCAGTGAGCTGTTTTTAGTTTGGTTCTATGCATCGCTTCCTTCGAAAAATCTTGCACATACGTACAGATGAAGAACAAGCTACCTGGGGAAGATCGCAAAGAGGGGAAAAGGGGCAGAGTTTGGAGCTGCTGTAGGTAGGGCCAGCACAGTGGTTGACACCATAGATAGAATATGGAAGAATTTGAATATGGATCAAAACCTTCTGTCCCATCATGCTCAGTTCTACATTACTTTTTTTTCCAGTATCCGGTTTTGATCCACGTTCGAATTCAAAATCTCCACGAGGTCCGGTGAGCACACCAACTCAATTACAAAATTGTACATCTTAAATAATCAACTATCAATTTTGTGGGGGTGATATTTGGACCCACACCCATTCCTTTATTGGGTTTGACTATTTGGGTATCCCGGGAACCAAAAAATACCATTGCCAAAGAATCTACAACACCTGACATGGTTTTTGGAAACCTGCCATTGGTAGCAGAATGCAGTAGGGAAGGGCCAGCACAGTGGTTGATACCATAGATAGAATATGAAAGAATATAGAAGAATATGGGGATCGATCAAAACCTGTCCCAAATACACCCAATTCTATATAGATTACTGTTTAAAGTATCTGGTTTTGATCGATGTCCAAATTCAAATCTCCAGGAGGTCCGGTGAGCACACTGTAGCTAAATGGGTTCAGGTCAAATTTGGCGCTCAATTGCAAAATTGCACCGTTTGAATTATCAACTATCAATTTAGGGCGGTGATAATTTGACTCACACCCATTCCTATCTTGGGCTTGGCTATTTGGGTATGCCGGGAACCAAAAAATACCATTGCCAAAGAATCTACAACACCTGACATGGTTTTTGGAAACCTGCCATGGGTAGCAGAATGCAGAAGGGCCAGCACAGTGGTTGATACCATAGATAGAATATGAAAGAATATAGAAGAATATGGGGATCGATCAAAACCTGTCCCAATTACACCCAATTCTATATAGATTACTGTTTAAAGTATCTGGTTTTGATCGATGTCCAAATTCAAATCTCCAGGAGGTCCGGTGAGCACACTGTAGCTAAATGGGTTCAGGTCAAATTTGGCGCTCAATTGCAAAATTGCACCGTTTGAATTATCAACTATCAATTTAGGGCGGTGATAATTTGACTCACACCCATTCCTATCTTGGGCTTGGCTATTTGGGTATGCCGGGAACCAAAAAATACCATTGCCAAAGAATCTACAACACCTGACATGGTTTTTGGAAACCTGCCATTGGTAGCAGAATGCAGTAGGGAAGGGCCAGCACAGTGGTTGATACCATAGATAGAATATGAAAGAATATAGAAGAATATGGGGATCGATCAAAACCTGTCCCAATTACACCCAATTCTATATAGATTACTGTTTAAAGTATCTGGTTTTGATCGATGTCCAAATTCAAATCTCCAGGAGGTCCGGTGAGCACACTGTAGCTAAATGGGTTCAGGTTAAATTGGGTTTGAGCTCAATTATGCTCAAGTACAAAATTGTACATCTTAAATAATCAACTATCAATTTTGGAGGCCTGATCATTTGACCCACACGCATTCCTTTATTGGGTTTGAACGGTTTGACTATTAAAGACCATTGCTAAAGGATCTATATTTCTGGGAACCAACAGCAACAGTGCAAATTTTTGGGTGTGGATAGTTTATTTATTTGGAAGATTTTGGGCTGAAATTCGCATGCCAGAACCAAATACACCAGCATAATAACAACATTTGGTGGTCATTTCAAAGGCCCAAAGAACCAAATCACAAGCTAAATGACCTCTTTTGTGATCATTCTAGAGGGACCCTTTTTTTTCCAATCATCGACCCGGATTTTTGAACATTTTGGGATTCTATCTTCGGACCGTTTTTTTTTTTGAAAATTCAAAGATTCTATCTATTTCAGGATGGTTATATATGATTATATATATATAAAGCCCAGTTGGTCTCACATAGTGTAAATATTTCTATAATCACAGGCGCTATACCTAATTCTTTGCGAACTGGGAAATGGAATCTAATTGGGGATATATATAGTGGGTTGCAATCTAGTTTACCAATTATCTACTCCCATAGCCCATCTGGGTGGACTTTCACTAATTTCTCCTCCCTAATATCCGACACTTTCCGCACTACCTGGTTCAGCATTGGATCTAATCATGGTGGGGGAACTTCATTGGGTACTTTTCAAATCAGCTGGAAGCAACAATAATGGGGATATAGCAAGATAAAAACACTTGATAAGATAGTATTTAACCAACACAACTTGGAGGACTATGTCGGAATGCCACCGCAGCAGGAGATCATGGTGGTGCACATAAACATGGAGGTTCAGCACGCAAAGGCGGCCTCTCGCAATTTTAGCAACGGAATTGGGGATATGATACTGTATATATATGTATATATATACACATACGTATATATATATATTTACATAACCAGCAAAAACTGGGATTGAATTGAAACTTGGAAGATTATCCGAGTTACTCCGCAATTCTTTGCGAAGTGGCGATTCAAGCAATCATTAGATGTGGACGCAAGTATATGTCTAAATTTGGATTTCATCCAGAAGAATGCGGATTAATATGATAATATGGAGGTTTCCTAAAATGGGGGTACCTCCAAATCATCCAAAATTGGATCATCTTAGTATTGAAAACTATGCTTTTGGGGATGCACCATTTCAGAAGCCCCGTATCAAATATCTTAAAATACCCCTCTGGTAATCCAACACGTGGGCCATGACTGGAAATCCCGATCTTTGATTGTTGGAGCGTAGAAGCTGAAGCCGGCTGTTTTCCAGAGGAAAAGCTAGGCCATGGGATTTCCATTCCGTGGTTTCGTAGAAAACTCCTGAAACTACAGTAACGTTGAATCCCCATAAATGAGTTCCAGAAGAACAACTAACATAAACACCTACTAATATCCCAAGTATCGCAGTTGTGTTGGCTATAGTGTTAGAATAGCGACTAACACTGACTAACACATTTTTTTGTGGTATTGTTAATCCAGTTATTACCAACTATCCATCCCAATTAGGTATTGTTATTTTCATTGTTGCTCCCAATTAATTATTAACCCCTTTTTTCATTGACATTAAAGTTCCAGCAACAAAGTGGGAACAACAATAACTAATTGGTATCATGATCCCAGTTATTCCCAACCATTAGTTTCAATTCTATATTCTCATATTATCACATTCAGTATGAACTATATCAATTTCTCCATCGTTAATTCCATATCTCACTATCATCTCACGTATCATGCCGCAAGTCACCCCATATCACATTCCCCCTCTCTGACACCTTTTTAAGTCTCCTTCACATCCGGTAGAGCCGTGGCCACCGCGACCAAGAGAGCAGAGCTTGAAACGGCGCGGGGCATGGCGGCGCCCGAAGCAAGGTGTATCTTTGGGGGCCAAGGTTCGTTGAAGTTTACTGAGCAAAAACATCCCTTTGAACGTGCGCCTTTTTGATACATCCAGGTGAACCACCAATTCTCACAAGGAATCGCAAGGAAAAAACTGCTGGGATGCGAGGGGAAAGCTTCAATGATCCTGACCTCATTCCAAATATGAATGGAATACATCTGCAAGCAATCGGGGCTGATTGATCTGCACATGCAAATATTTTCCCAAGACTGCCAAGAACACAGATTTGGAGCGATCTGATTTGGGCAGCCTCCGGTTCCTAAAATTGTGGGTCGCGCGCAAACTTGAACGTATCCATTTACGACCGAGCTCAACACGGAATGCCAAAATTTATTTCAGATTTATCAAAAAAGGTAAAATCAGCCTATGTCAATGGGAATTCCAGGATCCTAAAATGGAGGTACTGTACCATATAAGGCCATATTTTGTGGGGATATTCCCTTACATAGGCTTTATATAAGTCTTATATATGGTAGGTACCTCCAATTTAGGTTCCTGAAATGGCCATTGACTATGGAAACATCCATTCGGGCTATGAGATTTAAAAACCAGCTGAAGGTCACCCAGGTCACCCGCACGTCCTGCGTTTTGCGTTCTGATTCTGGCCTGACCAGGCTACGCACTTCGCAACGAGCTTGGCTACCGAACCATCATGGGGCGGTGAATTCAAGCTATTCAAACAAAGGTCTTGGTCAAATGCAGCTCATCATCAATTGATTGACCAGCAAAATGTTTGGAATCCACATCATGCTAGATTTATGCTCGATTTCCTAGGCAACCACCTTGACTCGGAATCGAACCACTGGATCCAGTGGCCAGCGGGCCAGCGGGTGGACCGGTGGGAATCGAACGGGCTTCCTGTCAATTTCCTTTCATTCACCTCCCCCGCACTGAAGTGCCTGGGAAATCCTTTGGCGCATGAAAAAGATGCCAAACATTGGATTTCGAGGCTTTTTCCCAATATGAAACTTCAATAAATTAGAAAAACGAACGACATCGATCAAATTCCTTATCCAAATATAATTCAACATTGCCCAAAATGGGATTTCAAAACTTTCCTCCAATATGAAATTCAAAACTGTCATTTTGAAATTGATTTCAAAAGCCGGAACCAGTGCTTATTATATATTGGGGGTGAAACCCTCCAATTGGACCTTAATTTTGAAATTGTTTCACAAAGGGGATCAATTAAAAATCAACTTGACCAATCTGATATTTATCAACATTGGGTATGAACCCTAGTTCTTTCATATTTGTGGGACATAAAAAGAGGGAAAGGAGTACTTCCCACGCACTTACCAACCCCAACGATCATCTCCGTGACTAGAACCCATGTAAAAGACGACTTAATCTCTTACCGGCTGGGGCAGTGCAAGCAAACCTCATGTGGTAAACTGATGTAAACTGGTTGTAGAGATCATCAAATGGTAGGTTTACAGGGTTTCCCCATAGGAAATCCCTTGGAATTTCTGGTGAAACGCCATCCCAAAAGCTCCGCCTGGCGACATCTTGTGGACCGCCTCAAGGCAGCTGATGCGGCTAATGGGACAAGGACAGTTGTAAACTTTCCTGGCTTTCCCCAATATGGATGACAGGAAAGCAATTCACTAGCATTCTATTTTTTGGGATGGTTCCCTATACTAGTCACACATTTGGAAATAAATGTTGCAACGAGATCGTTATAATTCACCCCAATACAGTCAACTGCTTCAATTTATAATATTGACATATTGGTGATACCCTAAAATGATATCCCCATAAACTTGTTGGTTTTATCCCGGTATGCCCCCCACTTCACAGCCCAGTAGATTTACTATGATTTACTCATGTTACTTAGTAGCATCGTCGTGTGTGGTATCAAGAGATATCCAGATTGACTTTAGTAAACCCCCATTGATTGCAAAAGTCCCGCATGGGCAAACAATCCAACGGTGACCTCATTTTGAGGTCGCTATAATTTACCTGACTTGCTATTTCAACCTTCACCAGCCCGAAAGGGTTATATAAGACCATTTTGGAATAGTTACCTGCATATCTGCAGGAATCATGCAGTTGCTAGTAAATGTCTTCGCTGACTAAACATACATGATTTCTATCATTTCACATCCCATATTCCGATAAGCTTCTTGATTTTATCAGGTTTTGATCCCATTTTGACACCCTAAACCAGCCCATATCCCGAGTACCTCGCGCCCGGCGCTCGAAGTTCGATGGCCGCATGGTGGCAATGGCAGACCTTCGAGCCTCGCGAACCAAAGGGTGCCATGTCGAAATCGGTAGCTTAAGGCTGACATGTTAATGATCTTGAAATATTTAGAATATTACTACTTTACCAATATTGATTATATATATATATATATACATATATATACATATGTATATACATATGTATATACATATGTATATACATACCGTACATACATTAGCACACACACACATATATATATATATACATATTATATACATAAATAAATCATAAATTTCATTGGTTAATGATACTCCTCAAAGGTGGCCCTGGGTGATCGGACTTCCTCTGCATCCATTTCCTGACCAGTTTTTCAACGGCTACGGCCCGCCACATCGGGACCGAAAAATGCTGACCGGCACCTGATGAAAAACACAGCCTGAAACCAGCAGCCTGTCATTTGTGTCAGGGGGCAATAAGTGCATTAAAACTCTTCACATAATGCTGATTCTTGCAAATGTATCACCCCGTGCATGAGTCTTGCCGCGTGCTGGTTGGAAAAACGTTGAAACTATGCATCATCTGGTCATTTAACCATGACCTGCAAGCTATCCCAGTCATTCTGCATTTCTACACATGAAATCACAGCACAGGCTATTTTCTGCTTTGTGACCTCAATTCCCTGAGAAAATACCCGTCGCTGAAACACAGGATCTTGCGACTGGCACCACCCATCACTGACCTCACTGATCATGAAGCATCTACCACACACTTGACTTCTGGTTCCAAAAGACTACCGATAGCCTGTATTCATCTTTACCCGGATTGCATACTTCTCAAGTCTCCGTGGGTCACTGAAGACCTTCAAGCTCATCTGCATTGTCTCCTCCATCTGGTAAAAATATTTAAAAATATTGAACATAGTAACATAGCTTATACAATCCGAGATCCTGCCTTGTATGACTTTTCTAAGATCCCAGTGGGTAACATATAACAAGCCTATACCCTCTAACTAACATAGGTATGAAAATCCGCCATGCTTGTTGGTCATTTCCAAATGGGAAAACCATGAATTTCCGCAGCTATATTCGCGAAAATCAATCAAATGATCATCATCTACTTGAGAGCAGGCGGAGGCGGACGAAAGGTAGTGTAGTGGGAGAGGAGTGGTGTCAAAATGCTGCGCCCCGAAGATGATACACCAAAAACGTTTTTGCGCAGTCTAAGATGATTTTATCCAGAGCATGACTGCATGATACGGTGTCTTGTGCAGCGTGAAATGATGCACGAAAAGGGGTTTATTAAAAACCCCTTTTCAAGACCCCTTGCAGCAACTGTTATTGAGGCTGAAGCAAACCAATTATGCTGGACTACAGGGACATCTCCCTTATGGAGAGTGTGCATCTAATGTGGGGGCCCGTGACCGCGTCACCCGTGGGAATTGAACCCATGACCATTTTAGAGGGGGGGGCTTATAATTGATATCCAATACATAACGGCGAGAATTCCACGTTTGGCCCGGCCTGGCCCCCCAATACCCCCTATGCTTGTGCTGAAGCACGGAGAACTCAGGTAGCTGACGCTACCTTTCGTGATTTGCATCTCTTAACTTGACGGTTAATCAACATATCACCCACCCAACAGCTAACCATCTGGTGGTTTAAGACAAAAACCATCTGGTCCTCCTTCCTCAGCACTGCATGCCTTGGCGCACTTGGTACGATCCAGGAAATGCCACCATTGAAACATCCAACATCTGGGAAACATATGGTGATTTATAATGGGAAATCCTACTCAAATGGATGATTTGGGGGTCCTCCATTTTAGGCAACCTGCATATAGAAACCATAGACCAATATAGACCATATATAATTGAGCCACGGCTGATACAAATATAGAAATACAATTTTGAGACGACTTAGGCTAGTCGCCAGTTGTCCATTGGAGAAGTGCCGCTGCTTCGCAAATTGAAGCTGCGCAAAAACTGGCTTTTCATTCATAAAATTCCCGACTCTATAGAAAACGCTTTTCTCAATGCAAGCAGGCCCTTGAACCAATCATTCTACGGTTTCATCAAATAGAGCCTGCTGCGATTTCGTTAACTCCTCGCTTTTGTTGATTCATATCACCTGATTTCATCCTCATTATTCGTCATTTCTGCCCCTTAGATCCCAAGTTTCACGCATCCCAAAAATATAGGGGTTTGATCCTCATCTTTTTGATATGGATTTTCTCTCATTTTCCCCATGGTCTTTCTCTCCCAAGAACTCCCCACCAACTTCCGCTGAAAAAACGCTGGGCAACTCCCGTCGGGTGATGCTGACTTTGCGGAGCTCGTGCGCCAGCTTCTTGACTGCGCTGGACAAGCCTGGCAGAGTGAAGGGGGTTGGATGGATGGATGGACGGATGGATGGATGTTTTTGGTATGATCATTATCTTTGTATCATAGAATGGGGTTTGCCACTAATGGGTGTCATTAGCCACTGGTGGATGGAAGATGCCAAGATGCTACATACAGGTGTTAATACAGGTTTTAATGAATCATTAGTTGTGAGGACATAACCAGCTAAACACTTAGATGAGTGGATGATATTAAATTGATGGATTTAACATTCTTGGTAGTGATAATGGATGGTTGATAATGTGACGGAAAAGGGGGATTGAATCATCCACCCAATCATGTTACCATCATGGGTTACGGTTAACTTATCAACTGATAAGTTCTTAGCCATCCATCATTAAATGTGCGGCAATAAACGGCTGATGTACCATTAACTTGGCCTATGACTTGACAATGAACATCATAAGTAAACTATGAGGTCACTTACCAAAACGTCAATGATGGGGTCCTTCATCCACATAGAAGAAAACATGAGGACTTATCACGCCACAAACAGGGAAGGACACATTTTTGATACAAGTAGGACAATTAATCATCGATCAACAATGAACGCCTATTTTTTCTGGTGGACGCAAGCGTCACTCCAAAGGGACATGGGGGAATGGTGGCTTCAGCAAGCAACTAGCAAAGATCCCATGGTTGGGGTATCCCGGGTGGTAACTGCTGAACCTGACCCATCCGCAAATTACCAGGAAATCACCTTGTGTCGCCAGATTTTGACAGTTTCGTCCTACCTGATCGTTTTCCAAGGTTTTCCTACCCTCAAATGCCAGCTTTGCGCGAGCTTCGTGGGAAATTTGTCGCGGAAGGTGAATTTGGTTGGGCCCATTCCTAGCACAAACATCACTGGTTGAATCCTTTGAGCATCCCCCGTTTTCAGAAAAATCCCGACAATGATGTCGCTTTTGGGAAAACAATGTGTCAGTATCTATTGGTGGTTCAATGGGTGACCCCATCCACCTTTGGAACCTTTGGCGAATATCTCACTTCTGCCTGCTCTGACGCTTCTGCTCGTGAGCCCAACGCGAGAGCAACAAGGGATGTTGTCTCAACGACAGTGGCAGATGGAAAGAATAGTGAAACTTCGGAACCACATTGTCCTGTCCATGGACGTTCTTGAGGGCGACAGGATGCTTGTGAACGAGTCGATCCAGTTTTGCGCTCTGAACGCAAGGTTTGGTTTTACTACATTACATCCAAGCCTTGCCAACTTATCCCTCGGGATCATTACATCATTGCACGAGAAAAAGCACTGGCATCCAAAAAAACACTATATAAATAGACTTTGATGGTGGCTCATATCAAAAACATAATGTGGAATCTTTTTTTGCTCCGGCAACGATTTTTCCCATACCTGTGTTCCAGCCGCCCCGCCCGACCGATGCGATCGTCCAAAAGGCAAGCATCAGACCTGAACCCGAGGAAACACTGTTGGAAACCATGGTCCATCAACATCCATCAACGGTGAAGACAGATAGTTCTGCCAAAAAAACCATTAAAGGAATCCAATGGGTACAGAGTGGATGGTTCTCAAAAAGACAAAGATGGTAACACATGGTAACACGATGTAATATGACCAATTGAACATGAGGGTTTAGTGCTACATCCCCCTTGGGGATACATCCATTTAACAACGGGTTTCAACTCACAGAAATGCAGGTATAAGCAGCGAACATGGAACTTGATCTGGAAAGATAAGGATATCAGTAGCAAGCATAGCGAATGTCACACGCACCACGGGTTATACTTGCTCAACGGGAAATCATCTGGGAGCCCATTTGGCTGGCAGCTTTGCCACCTCTTTCGGGCACCCGGTAAAACCTAGATCTCTGATTCTGACTTTTCTTTGCCAGGGCTTCTCAGAGGGTTCTGATTCTGGCATCTGATTTCGGGCCGGTTTTGATGTTTTCCGCAGTGCCAGCCATAATTCTCCGTGACAAAAAAACCCAGTGGTTCATCATCATTTTCCCCCATTACCCTCTGGTAAACTACCATAGCTATGGAAAATCACCATCTTCAAAAAAAGGTAAATCAACTATAAATGGCTATGTTATTGTGATAGCTATGTTATTATGATAAATCAACTGTAAATTATATAAATGGACCATTTTCAATAGCTATGTCATGACATAGCTATTGAAAATGGTCCATTTATATAATTTACCAATCCATGCTCCATTGGGCTTCCATGCAAGGTACTTTCCTCGGCTTCCAGAGCGTTCAACACGGGCACCTGCACGTCAGCTCCGGGGGTCCGTTTAAGGCCAGGTAGGATGCCGGGCGGCAGTTTGGGGGTTTAACATCCGAAAAACTGGGATACAACTCATCAAACATGGTGATTTCAGCACGAAAATCCAACAAACACTTGAATTTAACGATCACAAATCGGGATTTAACAATCAAAAGCAGTGATTTAATCAACAAACAATGTGATTGATTTAAGAATCAACATCGAGATCAATGTATCAACAAAGCCGACGTTTCACATGATATGGTGTTTTGGTACCTGCCGATATCCTACATCAGGAGCAACCCCAGCTAGCTGGCGGTAACCATTGGGTGATATGGGTTGCCTAGTTTGCCGCATAGCAAGGTATTGTTTGTCGCGGTCTCAAGCCAAACAATAGGTTTGCTTAACTCAAAGGACAAATTGTACGAAAGTCATGGGTTTCAAAAATCAAATCTCAAAAGGTTTTCAGTAGTCCTTGTATCGATGCCCACACGCACAACTTTAACAAATCTGTCTAATATCCCTCTTATCATGGACGATTGAAAACTAGTCTGCTCGAGGTCAATGGCGCCTGGGGCCCAGTTTTCAAGATGCCCACTTAGGTTGGCCAGGTCGGTGGCTCAAGGTAAAGATGGTAAACCAGCAGCGTTGGGCCAGGCTCCGGTTCTTGTCGCCATGAACCACTGCAAGTACACTGAATGCTGTTGCAAAAGCAGCGTCACATTGGTCGTCAATGACGACACCCGACACGTTCGATTTGCTTCGCCTTCGAAAGCCTCATGCTTGTGCTTGCGGCCAAAAGACGTTTCCCATGGCATCGCGCCGCTTGCAATCTCTAGCAACCGGGCAAAACTTGAATAAGTGGTTGGATTACAGGTTTACAAAAGTACTCAACCCGAATTATTTATATAATCAATCTTTAATTTAGCTGGTTTGTATATGTGTATTCCCATTTCTGGCCAAAAACAATGACATATAAAAGCATTCCTATCTACTAATTTCCTTTGTTGGTGCTGTTTTTCAACGCATCAAATTCCCCAAGCAGTGGGTTTACCCAGGTCTGTGTTGGTCACTCCCTGGTTAAACATGGGGAACTGTTGTCAATGATAAGGGACTTTATGAGTCTGGAAGTTTCACACATATCAGCGGTTGGGACCTATGATCCCGTAAACCATGGGTTTTGTGACCTTAGATCATCAATTTCACCATGCGAATTTCCACCATGGGTTTCACAGTCACCAACCATTTCCACCATTTTTTTTTACATACTGCTCATGATAGCTCGCCTGAGAGGGAGCCTCTGTGGTGTCGGGGCTCAGAACTTCTCTGCCTCTGGCAGAAGATGAGATGAGGCATGTGGCATGAAAGTCATAGCCTGCTGGCAATTTATGGTAACCGTCCACATGGAATATGCATACATGTATGCACGCACACACATACGCACACACACACATATATATAAAACATTTAGAATCCTATAATACTATAACATAGTAACTATTCAGGTGGAATATAGATAATATAGTCATTATGGCCAAATACAAAGAGAAATTGTAAGAATCCCGTTGGTTAAGTTATAACCAAGTCACGGAGGGAAAATCGGAACTGGCAACGATAGTTTCTACTTCCAAATGCAGGGGGTTTCCTCTAGAACTTCCCTTCAGCCAAGCTGGGACCAACGGGTATATGACACAACCAATTGGGGATGGATGATTGTTGCATCCACCCTCATACTCTACTGAACTAGCTGCTTATACTGGCCCAATGGCATTTAGATGATAAAAGGGCGGGATAATGGGCTTCAAGATTTAAGTCTTACACCCTGAAATTCATTGTCATAACACCAGGATCAGGATCCCAAAACTTTTATCCAGCTTCTCCGGCCCAGAAAACATGTTGAGAAACAAATATTAAGCATAAGCCATTGTGGAGTGGATAGTTATCACCAACAAACCTTTAGCCTGGCCCCCGCCAACTATCCTTTTTTAGAGGCTTAAATCCCATCTTGGTGCCTCCAAACTCAATTTTTGTGGCCGCAATCTAAAGTGATGTGGTTGAACATTCATGGTTTGTGTCGGCAACATCATTATCTCTTGTGGCTCCTCCCGGTTTTGGTTGGCTAAACCACCAAGCAAAAAAATCACATAGGAGGACGAGCTTCACCAGTTTGCAAAATGTTCCCCAAATGTGGGTTCCTGGGAGGTCTTTTCAATTTATTGCTGGTTAAACCACCAATTTTGCTGATCAAATTGACAATTTTTGGGTCAGCTTTTCATTCCGAGCCAAGTCTTGACGCGGGTGAAACCGGCATTTTGTTTCTTCACCTGCACCGCGCCAAGGGAGAGCCCAGGGGCAGGAAGTGGCAGCTGTGGAATTAGCATTGCAACCCAGCTATGGGGATACAACCCAGGTATGATCACCTTAACATCACTTAACCATAAATTTGGTGGATCTGATTCCATCTGGCTACCGTTTTTGTTTATAAAGATTCAAAAGAACACAAAAATGGTGCCCCCAGTGCAAATTACTTTGCAACTAACATGCATTTTAAAATGATATATCTACCATTCATCCCATCGTGAACCTACTTCTCTTGACCAACTTAGTCAGTCCAAACCGGAGCACTAATTCAGCCACTTTAGGATAATCCAATATTTTCCCAGCAGATATCCCATTCCTATGTCTCTTAGATTCCAGGCAAAACCTTCACTACCGTCTGAAATTCCATTAAACTCACCCCCCAAATCAGCTAAGGTTGCATTATCCCTTAAATCTGCTCAAATTTATCATATTTATATATCTCATTTATTACCCCTTCATTCTCCCCATATTTTTCCATGGGATTTCATCAAACCCTACTCCAGCCACACCTTGTAAGCCACACGCCACGTGGCCTTCACGCCACCGCGCCTTCACGCCACCGCAACGAGAAATGCCGCTACCTTGGCGTCGTTACGACGCGGAAAGGCAGTGTGAAGGCCAACTTTCATCAACTTTCCACGTGGAAAGACATCAAAAATCACAGGAATTTCTGCAAAAACCATGGGATAATCATGGGGTAATTCCTGGAAAAGCATGGGGTAATCATAGAGAATGAGAAGGGATAGAATATGATAGAATCAACAAATACGAGGAGTGTGACCCAGGGACACCGGTATCCTTTGGTGACCTGCCGAGGTCGCCGCAAAGTATCACTACTTTTTCCTATGAACACATTGGAAAGGACCAATGTCCAGAAAGGTTAACCCTTCACTTCCAACACCCAGTTTCGACTCACTTCCAACACCCAGAACTCACTCCCAACACCCAAAAGTAACTCACTTCCAGCACAAACGCAGGTTTCGGCGTCGGGGGCGAGACAATTTCAATACTTACCATAATATCATAGGAACTCATGTGTGACCATACATAACAATACCAATACTTGGAGTTTGTTTGGGAGAGTGGGGATGGATCTACTTACATAATCACTCGCATCAGCCATTTAGGGTGGTAAACGACCCAGCCACGCACACAGATCGCACTCAGCGGCGCACGCAGCCAAAACACAAATCTATCTCAGCCACACACACAGACCTTTGTATGTTGCATTTAATGTTTTAAAAAACATGTTTAGGGTTTATATGTTGTTGTACGTAATGTAAGAAGAGACACGACACCTTTACGGTTTATATGTTGTTGCACGTGATGTAATAAGAGCCACGACACTTTTAGGGTTTATATCTTGATGCACTTAAAAGAAGAAACACGACACCTTTAGGGTTTTTATGTTGTTGCACTTAATGTTAGGAGAGCCACGACACATTTAGGATTTTTATGTTGTTGCAAGTAATGCAACAAGGATAATGCAACAAGGACAAGGAACATGACACCTTTGGGGTTTGTATGTTGGTGCACTTAATGTCAGAAGAGCCACGAGACCTTTGGGGTTTATATGCTGTTGCACTTAATGTAAGAAGAGACTCGACACCTTTAGGGTTTATATGTTGTTGCACTTCATGTATGAAGAGACACGACACCTTGAAGGTTTATATGTTGTTACACTGAATGTAAGAAGAGCCACGACGCCTTTAGTTTTTTTCATGTTGTTGCAGGTAATGCGACAAGGGACATGACACCTTTAGGGTTTGTATGTTGTTGCACTTAATGTACGACACCTTTAGGGTTTATATGTTGTTGCACTTAATGTAAGAAGAGCCACGACACTTTTAGGATTTTTTATGTTGCTGCAAGTAATGTAACAAGGGACATGGCACCTTTAGGGTTTGTATGTTGTTGCAATTAATGCAGGAAGAACCACGACCCCTTTAGGGTTTATATTAATGTTGTTGCACTTAATGTAAGAACAGACACGACACCTTTAGGGTTTATATCTTGTTGCAAGTAATGTAACAGGGGACATCGGACATGACACCTTTAGGGTTTGTATGTTGTTGCACTTAATGTAAGAAGAGCCACGGCACCTTTAGGGTCTTTTTGTTGTTGCACTTAATCGAAGAAGGGCCATGACACCTTCAGGGTTCATTTGTTTTTACACTGAATGTAGCAAGGGCCACGGCACCTTTAGGGTTTATATGCTGCTGCACTTAATGTAAGACGAGCCATGACACCTTTAGGGTTTATATGTTGTTGCACTTAATGTAAGAAAAGACACGACACCTTTAGGGTTTATATTCTGCTGCACTTAATGTAAGAAAAGACACGACACCTTTAGAGTTTATATTCTGCTGCACTTAATGTAAGAAAAGCAACGGCACCTTTAGGGTTTATATCGATGATGATGATGATGATGATGATGCAGGGGCACGGCGTCGGGAGCGAAACCGTTTCCGGCGTTGGAAGCGAGTCAAAACTCGGCGTCGGAAGCGAGGTGCCAACCGTTTGGAAAACACATGCTTTCTTCTTCCCTAATATTTTTTTTTAAATATATAATGATATATAATTGCATTTATTTATATATTTACTGTATGTATATCCAACCCATATCCATCCCTAATGGTTGGTTGAACCCTAATCTTTCAGAAGCCAACGGTCGAAACGCTCCAGGGACTTGCGTTCTCCGTCGTCTCGAGCACGGCAGGCTTGGTGCTGCCGCAAGCCTCAGCCGATGAGTTGATGCTGGCCCTCATGGGTAAGTGTTATTGGTTGAATACCCTGAATCCCTGTGAAAAAACGTGGATGTTTCCTGAAACGGGGGTACCCCTAAATCATCCATTTATAGATGGGATTGTCATGATTTTCCATTATAAACCATCCAGCTATTTGGAAGTACCACCATTTATGGAACCCCCCATATGGCGATTTCAATCAACAGAAACCGTTTTGAACCCTGAAGAACTTGGCGCAACCATTTTGACGAACGAACCAACCAGTGGGGCATCCTTTGCTGAGGTGTGCATCTGTTGGGTCCCTGGGGTCATTTCGCCACTCTGAACTGATGGAGAACCAGAATGCGTACGGCAACTATAACTCCGTTCTAAGTGGGGGTACTCCCCGCATTGCATCACAACAAACTAACAAAACATCAAAAAACATATGGTGGCAGCAATCCAGGCCCAGCATGGGACTACACGTGGTGGGAGGTCTATCCCAGCTCCATCGCCCTTCACAGCTGAGAAGCAAAGGCTCACTGAAGCTGCCCGAATAGATGGAGACCTGGGATCCGTTGGGTACAGAAACTGAAAGTTGAAGCTTTCGGGGCAGGATCCTTTCAGAAAAGTGGACTGGTCTACTGAACAACACCTCAGCTGAAGGAGGTCGAAACCGAAGTGATCAAACCCACATCTATTGCATTCAGTTTTCGGGGGAAAAAACAGCAGAAAGCTTCGCCACAGTCGGGGCGCGGGCTGGAGCTCCACTTCCAGTTTGGCCACACCAATACCGGCACAAACTGATACCAAAATGACAAGCCATCACCAATTTGGGGGTTATTGGGTGTATGACTAATGACTCAAGGTAGGTACCTTCACCCCATTTCGTTCAGTGATGTTCAGTTGCACCAGTTCTCGTAGGCCAGTGTTTGGCCCTTTCATCATGTTGAATGTAATGACTTTAGTGCTATGTTTGATTTCCAAACGAACAAACACACTTCTCCAAATGAAATCCCACATCCGATGTCAAACCATCATTTCCAGTGCAATGGAACGGAATGCCAAATTTCGAAGCGAGCGCTCGCTTTGGACTCCCCACTGTTGAACTCCACAGCTGCGATCTTCTCAGCTCCCAGTGGTTTGAACGCTGCGATCTAACCACCCCCGCCTCCGCGACGGACTGGGCTGGTGGATCAATTAACTGCAAAATGCCGGACGCCGTGCTGCTGGGTGCCTGGCGTCAGCCATGCCACCGCCTCAAGGAGCTCCTCCACGTAGGCGATGAAAGAATGGTGTCGCCGGTGTCGCTGATCGACATTTGTTGTGTTATGTTTGAATTTCCTGGGTATGGGTCGAAGTAGGCTAACCCACAAGAATCTTAGGAATAAATCGACCCGCAATAGATCAATAGGAGGTTGGAAGACAACTTTCCCCTTAAAGACAACTTTCCCCTTAAAATTGATGATTCTCTGGCCTACTTGAGGGTATCGTAAATTAAATCCCGAGAAAGTGCGACAGTTTGAGTCCCTATATTGCCTCAATTTTTGACATGTACAGTAGCCATTTTGTGTTCGCACATCACAGTGTTCGCAGATCGCAGATCGCATCATTTTGAATCAAAATTGGTAAGTTAAGCACACATTTATTGCATCAAAATGGGTTGGTTCAACCATCTGATTGAAGGGTAATTCCTTTCCCATTAAGATTCAACGCAGCGGAGATCGCCCTCTTCGGGCCTTCATCTGGCTGATGGTTTTAGGGTCTCTTCATTTCGGGGTCCAGATTCAGGGTAGTGTCATTAGGAGCGCGTGATCAACACTGACTCGGATTGTGAATCAAGTTTCCAAGTTCACATTGACTCGGATTGTGAACCAAGTTTCCAAGTTCCCAAGTTGGCGAATTCGTCAAACTTAAAGATACCCCTGAAAATTCAGCAAACCCAATTAAGCCACTACAAATATCCCAAAAAACCATCTCATTATACTAGTTGGTTGAAGCCGGGTTTCCTACTGTGGATCTCAATCATCCCCAACCCTCACAATGATCCCGAGCTGCACTGCGCGGATCGCGTGTGGACACCAATGGTGCCGGGGGCAGCTCCCAGCCAGGGGGGACGTGAAGGTGCCACCTCAATGGCTTTAACCACCAAACACGCAGGAGTTTATCATCAAACATCCTGGGTTAACCATCAAAAATGAAAGTTTAACAATGTTTAACCATCAAAAATGCTGGTTTAATGCACTTTCACTGGGTAAGTGCCATCAAAAAAGGTGGTTTCAACCATGTGGTGATTTATCCATCAAAAAAGGCGGCTCAATACTTAAACGCGCCTCCAATAGTGATTGTTTGACCGACAAAAATTGGGGCGTTACCATCAAAAATAGAGGACCATTTGTGCATAATGATAAGGAATTTTAACCATCAAGAAAGGTGGCTTCACATGTTTTTACCGCTGAAATGCCTGCCACACACAAAAAATAATATGTATATATTATATAGTTTTAAAATAATAGTAATAATAATCATGATAATAATGATAAATATAAATATAAATATAATATATATATTACATATACACACACACATATATATATATATATAAATATGACCTAAATTCATGAATAGATCCAATACCAATACTAAACCAGTGCGTCTAGGAGGGGTTTTGAACTACTCAATATTTAACTTTGTGCTTTTTGCTTTTTCAAAATCAACCCTTTGAAATATACCAAACCTGGAATTCATCATCCCATTACCGCTTTGTGGGAATTATTGGGGTTATTCTCAGGTAAATTAGCACTATTTATGGAAATCCCTTGGTTTCCGTAGGAAAATGATCTACACACGGTTTTTCTCCCTATATCTATGTTGATTTACTGGAGGGTAATTACTGCCATCATTGGAATCAAGATATGGGATCTCTGGCAACTTATATGTCATTATATGGGCTTCTCTCGAAAACTGGGATTTAATAGTCAATAATAAGGATTTACCCAATGAACAAATAATAAGGCAATAATATTGAATTGGGATATATGTAAATAAGGATTTACCCAATGAACAAAATTTATTGAAGCAAATGCCACAACCACAAAAAACATATTCCATTTTGTTCCTGTGGCAGGGCGTGATGATAGAATCTATCGCAGGTAGTTCTGGCAGATAAAACCGCAAAAAATCATCTAATGTGGTTGGTGGTTGAGCAGCCCCTTTCAAACATCTGCTGGTCAATTTTGATAATCCTCGGCAGGATGGGCTTGTAATGGCCCAAAACTGCACCAGAAAATGGCGGAAGATATGCCAACCTAGGTAGTCGAAATTTTCAAGAGATAAGTGGGATTACATGATTACCTAATCAAAAGAGCTCATGTTTTGATCATCAGTATCATGTCAAGCAATAAGGTGGATCGATGCATTGTGGAGCATCAATTCGCGGCAAGGCATGCGTGTCATTTGGGAGAACCTTTCCGGCCATCGTGGAAAACTAATAGGTGTTGCGAAAAACAATGGTTACCTAGTGGGGAGGTTTACCAGCAAACCCTCCAAACATCAATTTCTTTGGGTGGTTTCTGCCTCTCCTGACATCCAATGTGGCCCTCCAAATGTAGCTTCCCTTTTTTTCAAGAATGTGTATATATATATATGTATAATTTTTAGGATATCTTAAGATATGGCTGAGAATCATCCAATTGGTTCAGTTCACCTTCCGTCATTATGCATTCCGTTCTTGGCTGATAAAGAGGATGAGAATCATCGCCATGACCATAGATATCGTCATAGACCTTGAGAATAGCTGGTTGGTGGCTTCAACCCCTCTGAAAATATGAAAGTCAGTTGGGATGGTTATTCCAAATATATGGAAAATAAAAGCCATGTTCCAAACCACCAACCAGATTGGTGGAAACAAATCTTCCAACTCCACGATTTGGCCCATGCCAACGCCATTGCGCAGTCTAAGATGCGTGTCCTGCTCTGGATCGCCCTTTCAGCGAAGAGAAATTGGGGCACTGCGACAAGTTCTTTTCGGGAGCCATTGGTGAAATGCACTGTATCTATTAATTTTTTGGGGCCCCTTCTTGGGGATATGTATTAGAAGAATATGAATAGCAAAGCATCAAAGCATCTGTTTCTCTATTCTTGCAGGACCAATGGACAGTGAGCAAAATGTTCAGAAAGGGGCTGCTACGCTTCAAAGGGTATTCAAGAGATTCAGATTGGGTGGAAGCGATCTTTGCGAAAAACAACCAGACAATTAGTAGTGCCCCATCCAATGTACCTTGGGGCTGCTTGTGCTGAGTTCACATTCTTTCACCATCACGAATCTGCACAACTTGTGATCATTCAGCCAGAAATTGATGGAAATCTCTGGAAAGATTTCCCCTAAAACACCCTTTGGCACTCACATGTGTCAATATAAAATCCCCCAAAAAATCTCCCGGAAAATCATGAATTTCTGAGGGGTAAACCATGGCCATTCCTCACCATTGTGAGAAGCCCACTGCCATACACCTACCATTTGGGATGGTTGGAATACCACCCATTAGAAGCTTATGACATTGGCTTTGCCGCATTTACTATAGTTATCCCATGAGGTTGTTTATAACATCCATCTAGATCCCATTAGGTTTATAAAATCGATAGTCCCATGAACATCCATTAAATGTTGTTTCATCACCATAGCGGGATGTTGATCCATATAGATCCCATGGGAACTATGGCATCTAATTAAGATGAATTCACTATGACTGCGTATAATTAACATCCCATTAACATCACATTGACTATAGTTACTTAATGTTAATTCATGTTAATTAACATCCCATTAACATCCCATTAACTTCATCCCATTAACATCACATTGACTATAGTTAATTAATGTCAAATATCTGTAGTGTGATTGGCCTCCCTTCATCAATGGCGCCTTGGGCGGTGGCAAGCTGCGCATGGCCCGCATGGCCTTTGCCTCGTCTTCCAGGGCTTGACGCGTCCAGTAGCGCGCCAGCTGCTGCTGCTTCCAGGCTTCCTGGGGGACCGTGGTGACCCGGTCCTAGGAGTCCTTGAATGTCCTTGGAAAACCCAGGGAAGTTGAACCAGTTGACTTCAGAAAAAGTGGAAAAAGAACCATAGATATGCAGAAACTGCAGAAACTGCTTGATGGGCTACGAACCATGTAGATCCACACGGGATCAACTCAGAGCCCGTCAAAGTGGGTAGCCACCTGCTTGCTGGGTGGTAACGGGCTCCAACCAATTTCTAGGTTGGGAGAACCACCCCCAGCAGGACTAGGATTTGAGGGATTCCAAAACGTGAGCTCTGAATGCTGAAACCAACAACCTGATGCTGCTAACCCCAAAGCCTGAAACTGAGAGGTCTAAGCATCTCTGCTAAAAGCCTTTAAACGTGGTAGCTATTCTTTATACGCTTCATTTTATTTCAGAATGCGGTACAACTCTGCCAGCACAATTTGGTGAAACCACTACACAGCTAGAAATGGGTCAAGCACCCAGCACCCAAACAAGGCTTCCCACGCCGTCCTCCATCCTCCCTGTCCTGCACCGCTTTATCTGCTAGAATTGCCGCCTGTCGAGCCCTGCGCGCCAAACCTCCAGGGCTTCCAAGGCGTTAGCGCTGAGGAACCATGGATCGATTTGAAGAAGGACCCTCTGGTAAACAAACAGTTTGCTATTGAAAATGGTGATTTATAGTGGATTTACCAATTAAAAATGGTGATTTTCCATAGTTATGTTAGTTTACCAGAGGGTACATAAGAGGAACCCTGGTTTTTGCCATCCAAATATGACAGGGTAACTGAATGAGATCTATGAGTCTTCCTTTCAACAAAGCCCAGGAACCCGAGGTAAGAGGTTCAACCACCATGCATTAGGGATTTCACCAGCAACACAAATAATCATGGTACATCCCTTATTCCTGTTTTTCGCTTGCAAAGTAGGGTCGGGTTAAAACCTGTTATGATCATACTGGCCGGTCGCTAAATTCATGCTTAGCGCACGAGAGGTGATATACAAAGCATCATCTGGTATGATGGAGGTTTCACAACGTGAATGGGATAAATATCAGGGGATGGGTTGAAGGGATTCACGTTTTAAACTATGTAGTTCCCCACCAGCAATTCAGGTATGCAACGAGGACGGATGGGATATGATCGAATCAGCTACGATGGGACATCAGCTCCAGTTGCAGATGCTGACACTTCACAGTTGGATGCTGTGACTATGTATGTGGTTGCAATGGTTGTTTTTTGTGAAGAGGCGATGTAGATCAGAAAACCTTGGAAGTCACCGGATGCCACACTTGACCATCACGTTCCATGATCAACATCAGTTCAGCGAGGATCCTGTGGTGATAATCAGCCATCAAAAGATCTGGCCATAAATTACCCCATTAGTCACTAATATATGGCCATTTGATGCCCAAAAGGGGATGATTTCCCAAAAGAATTCCCATCATTCCAGGGCTCGGTCGCGAACTGAGGTCATTTCCCTCAGGAGTTGATATGGCGCTTCAATCTGCCAAAAACTATGGGCCACTGGGGCATCCCCAGCCCAAAGAAGGCAGTCATTTTTTCAGCCCGGCCCATTTTAGATCCCGTTAGATGCCATGCCCCAAAAAACGCTGGTTCATCAATATCCTTGTTGATAGCAACAGCTTCAAGTCTAAAACTATCCATCCAAAGTTTATCCATGGTCCAAGTATGTCCAAGTCATTTCCGCCAAGACACGATTGCCGTAGTACTTATACCTCAGAAATACCCGACAATGATGCCTGAAATCAAACTGGGCTGAACACCTTGACCTGTCGTAAACTGATCCTGCAAGCTGGTTGGATAGATTTCATCCGAAACTATGCTACCCCCGAACTTCAGTCCCTCGGACTTTTCCCCATCGAGATTGCAGTTTTGAGGTCCCTATTTTTGGACACCCCCCAACCTCATCACCATGCACCAAAAATCACCAGAACACGTCACCACTTGTGAAGGCTCATTTTTCTCCGAGCTACAAATCTGCCACGCTGACATCTGGAGCCTGCCGGAAGGATTGCTGGGTGTGATTCCCACATGAATAGGAATTATTCAGCCCAACAACTGGTAACTGTTACTAGTCATGGCAACAACTGCTTTTGACTAGGAATTATTAGGAATTATTCATCCCAATCAGCTCCTAGTCCGGCCGCTATGGGCCGTTGTAGTGAACCTATAGCTTTGCGTCGGCGCCTTGTGGGCTTATTTTGGAAATTTGGAATCTTGAAAAAATGCAGCATGTAATGCAAAAAAATGGATCTTAAAAATGGTACATGTCCGGCATGGTACATGTCATGGTACACGTCAGGAATGGCACCCCCGCTGATCCAAACAACCAGTCAACCTTTGGCTGACAGAAATATATTCAGAATATTTCGGAGCTCTCTGCCATCCGAAACGAGATTGTTGGATTCCGGGGCCCACCTGGTAGCTTCTTTGTACTTCATTTACGAGGCAGGTGCATACTTCATCATACTTCACCCCGTCACAATTCAAAAACCAATGCAGCCATTGCCATCCTTCAATATCTTGCAAAGAAGCTATGTACAACTCACAGCTGGGTATGATATCCCTCCGTGTCCTGCCAACCTTAACACATTAACTGATAACTTCACCAAGGTTTATGGGGCAATCCGGCTGCAGAAACCTACCCGCTGCTGTGCTCTGATTCTTTTCTCAGCTGCTGCTTCACGGCATCAACTCTGGCGCAAAATCATCATTTGTATCATCCTCATTGTTGCTAAGGTGGGAAAGGCGATGCAAATAAAAAACACCCATTTGGGGATGATTTATACTTACCACCTATCAAAATGGTGATGACTGGGGGATGGTTTATGACATTGCTTTATCAACATTATATATTTTCAATTTTTTTCACGTATCCTTTCCCGGAGATTGCCATGGCCCTCAGCTCCAAAGGTGGAGCGATCAATCGGCTTTCGCATTCGCTGCCTGCGAGCAACAGGGGTTCTCCAGGAATGTTTGGGTTGACCATTAATAAGGACCACAATCATCGATTCTTAAGAAACCATCCAGTATGGGATTTTTTGATATATCATAGTGGATTTTTTCTGGGATAAGAGGCTTTTTTATAAACATGTTTTATTAGTGAAGGCTATAGCCACCAATAACCTTTAAACTACGTGTACTGCTGGGCGAATCTTCACCATCAGTGGGGCTGATTAAATCCTGACATCAGCTTGGCATCAGGGCTGGGCATTGCAATTGCAAGCTGTTTGGAACCGGAAATCTCGAGGTATATGGAGGTTTCCTGAAATGGGGTTTCCCCTTGTTATCATCCATTTACAGATGAAATTTTCCATGAAATCAACCATCCAGCGAGCTTGGGGTACCCCCATGACTTGGGAAAAAATACAGAATCAAAGGATTCTAGCACTATTCGGGCGGGAGCTCCATTTCCCCAACAACAAGTGGCATAACCAATTTCACTAGATTGCTATATCCCATAGGATCCATGTATGGTATATATGCTAACATTGGGGGTATATGGATGGTAAATGTTACCCTATATATAATATAGCATACATGGATCCTATGGGTATAGATGGAAAATTGTAATCTCTCAGGGCCTGATTAGCCAAATATGTCAAAAGGATTCAAAAGGCACCCAGATGTTCATGGGCGATTAAAGAGGTCCACCCAACGCCCATGGCATGGGGGTCCCACATGTCCTGCAGGATCTGTAGCACTTCCAAGATGTCTTCGTCTTGGCATTGCTGGGGCAGTTGATAGTCGAAGATCACATAGTCTGGCCTGAAGGTTTCACGCTGTTCCAAGTCCCAAACATGACCAAGTTGCGTGAGTAAAATCCCTAGACCCCTTCATACCAAGCATGGGTGGAACGCTAAAACTTCACCTAACTATCAGCAAGTGGCAAGCTTAACCAGCAAAATGCTCGGAGATAGACGCTGTCATTGGATTTCAAGACCTGGGCCATGGTCCAGGGAAAAGTGTAGCTACCAAGTTGGATGCACAGAAAACTAAGCCCTACAACATGCTCAGATCTGCGTAGGCCTTCAGACTTGCCTCTTATCTGTGGATGGGCAAACTATAAACTCATACTAATTACTTGGAACAGCAAGCACCATTGGTACCATGGTACGGGGCCTTTGGAGAGTTGTCTGCCGGAAAAGCAACCTGTACCCAGTTTGATAGGAAGTGTCATCCGCCACCAACTTCTGATCCACTAATTCCATCCTCCTAATGTTGAATACCCCTCAAGCGAAATCCTTGTTTAGTGTAGCGGACCTAGTCATCTTCCGATCCACATTCTGGGGATGGGATTGTGCACAACTTATATTTCATAGCCTTCCCAAACATGCAATAATTATCAAAATCACGCACAAAATCCCAGAATAACTGATCCAGTTCCAAAATATTCCAGATTTTTTCTACCCCACAACCCGTAACATCCCGTAACATTACCTTTACATCGTATTTACATCGACCTTTTTGTTTTGTCTCCAGGGCACTGAGTGCATGGCCGTTTCGGCCTTCTTAGTCTCGTATAACTTCACCCCGAAGATGGAGGACATGGCAAAGGTCTCCTTAGACGGAACCGCTCAAGACCGCGGGCGACGGCTGACCATGATTTCAGTGTTAAAACTGACCCAAAATGATGAGATATTTCTAAAATGTCAATGAGCATGCATGTCAATTCAAAAAATCATGTCGTTGAATTGCATACATAATTATATAATTCAACCATTGGTATGTCTAATTTGGTATGGGATGGTATGGTAATTCAAACATAATTTACATCCATAATCATATAATTACATATAATTACCATAGCATCCCATGGAACATGTTGAACCATCGCCCAGTGTCTCGATGCGTGGGATGTTGCCCCAGCCAGGTGCGGAAAGGATTTCCATAGCACTGCTGCGAGGCCAAGATCGAAGACCAGTCGTTGGACAGGTCTTCCTGGGCAGCTGAAGCTAAGGGCAAACAGTTTGTGGGAGTTAATGGATGTTATATAACTGTTATACTGTTATACGATACGTTTTTTTTTCATCAAACACCTGGGAGATTCAAATTTTAGTCGGAAAGTTTTAACGGGTAAAGCTGGCTGGTTTTTACCCCAAATCGGTGAGGTTTTTTGTAACATGTTTCATCATCCATTTCTAGGAGGGATGTGGGATGGAAAAAAAATTGAAAAAGTTGACCTCTTTGAATCTAAGATTGAACAAACATTTCAATGGCAGTGGACATGCTTCAAATATCTTCAAATCCATGGCCCAAAGTGCGGCATCACATGGGATCGCCAACCTGCCGTCAAGTCGCAACCTTTCCAATGAAATCCATCCGTAGACCACAGCTGGCTGAGAATGGAGGAAGAAACCTGTCAACAACATCTGGCAAAAATCCCACCTGCACAGCTGTTACCAGGCCGGGGCCAGAAGTGAACCATAGTGAACCTGTGTGTGGGACATTGACATGTTGGGAGAACAGGGTGCAAAGTAGATGTGATTCATGCACATATCATCACATATCATCACATATCTATTCCGACTTCCTGTGCCCCCGCTTGGGCTGCCAACATGAAACCGCAGGTTCTTTCCTCACCGAGGCGCTCGGATTGCGGCTTCACATGGCCATTGTACATGACGCCGTCCTCCAAAAATCGATCGATAAAGAGTTGGGCCTCAGGTGCTTAGGTCAGAAATTCTCACATTAGCCGCATCTCCCAAAAATCAAACAACAGTAGCAGACTTTTGGTGGGTCAATGCGGGTCAACTGCGGTTGAGCGACCAAGTGGTAGGACATTTATGTAAAACCATGTGAAACCTAGGAAAAACTGATGGACGTATATTAATGGGAAACCTTCTGTATAGAGGTGCTCCATTCTAGGGGAGAACTGGCTGGCACCAACCAATCTCTGCTGGGTCTCTTGTTCGTGGCTTCCAGTTTCAGCCAGTCGAAAGAAATCGAAGTTCGGGTTGCGATAGGTTCCTGGGGCATTGTGGCATTGTGGGTGTCATGGTGCTTCAATCCCAGCGGAAGAAGGAGGAGACAAGGAGGAGGATGATGATGATGATGATGACGATGACGCTGGATGGACCACCTATCTCCAAAGCGGATCCGAGAGTCGCTCGATCTCCGCAAATCCTGACACGAAGCGCTCCAAGGGCTCCCGGACGAAAGTAAAAACGTGGCTGTGCGCGCCTTGGGCATGGTCCAAGCAATGCAAAGTGTAACATATCAGGGAACGGGTTGAAAGCCGGCAACATCTAACATCAAAATAGCTGGTATAATATGGTATAATAAAATACATCGGGGTGCCAATTCATTATGTGAGGCTGTGCAGGAGTTTTAGAGCGGTCTAACTTTTGTGCATAGGCCTCAGGCTTTAAAATGCATAAAAACAATGAAAACTGGCTCTGCAATAAAATGCCTTGCCACCAAATTCATGCTTGAATGTGCATCCAACATCATCCAATTTCATCCAATTTTGAAGACCCTCAGAAACGCATCTTTAAAAAGATGTCAGGAAATCCATTTTAGATAGGGGTATTTTAGAGTGAAGGTGCCCAAATATTTAGTGTTTTTTTTTTTAAATAGCATTCTATAGCAACAAAATCGGTGGCATTCTTTCGTGACAATTCCTTAAAATTCGTTAAAAATCCTCTAAATTCCTTAGAATTCCAAAAAACTCCTTGAAATTCCTTAAATATCCTTTAAATTTTAAAAACATTAAAGATCCTTAAAAATCCTCCAAAATCCTTCAAATTCCGTCAAATTCCTTTAAAATCCTTAAAATTCCTCTAAGATTCCTTACAATTCCTTAAAACTCTCTAAATTCCTTAAATTTCCTTATAATTCCTTTAAAATTCCTTAATACTCCTTATAATTCCTTTGAAATTCCTTAATATTCCTTAAAATTCCTTAGAATTCCTTAAAATTCGCTGATCTAAAATGACATGCCCAATAAAATCGATATAAAAAGATCCTGGAAAAGCATTGGTTCCATTCTGCAATAAAATGCTCCAAGCAAACATTTTTTTTGCAATAAAATGAGCATGGAATTTTAACATGTTAAAAATAATCAGGATTTACCTTTACAATAAAATGCTTAGCCCAACTCCCCAACAATAAAATGACTAGCCTGACATCAATTTTAAAATTCCAATGCATTAAAAAAATTGTTTAAACTATGCACAGGTTCACCAGTTCTAGAGTGCAAATTGCCACGGGGATTAAAATACGGTATAGCTATTTTGTTTTGTTGATCCCCCCCAGCCCCCCATATCAAACTTGGCGGAGCAACACATATACCGGAAGGGATAGACAAAAATTAGCTATGAGACTCCTCAACCGAAGTTTAACTAGAATCGATGGCAGGTTCCTAGTGTTTGTGAAACAAACTCTACTATGTAGCGCAACCTACGGAATCAGAGCATGGCAATCGGAGGAATGTGTTGCGAGGTGTGGTGGCACCCCCTTGAAGCACTGACATTGATGTCTTTTTGTTGCCTCATACTGTAGAGGAGTCCAGATTGGTAAACTCCTTTCCCTCAGTTTTGGATGGTTCAACTGTAGTCCCTTCCAACATCTTTCAACCATAAATTCTGTTCAACGCATCACACATCCCCGAAAAAGCTATGATTTGGTGATCTGTTCAACATCGGGACTTGGGATCTCCAAGATCCAATGCAGGTGAGGATCAATGGAAAATTGCCATGGAAAATGACCCATTTGTAGATGATTTATCCTCTGCTAATCAAACGTGGCAATGGAAAATCCACCATTTATAGATCATTTAAGCCAATTACGTAAATTAAGCCATCCATTTACAGGGCATGTTCAGTTGCCATGGTTGATGACCGGAGGGTACCCATTATTTCCATTGCCTTTTTCCATGGCTATGTTCAACTACCAGAGACATCCAGAGACCTTGCCCAAGTGCTACATCTGAGTCACGATCCACGTTTGCGAGCTGATCACACCAGCGGTAGTTGTCCTCCATGGCACGTTGTTCCTGAGGGAAGGCGATTTCAACTACAACAATGGGGTTCAACACATTTTTTACCATAAAATTGTTGCTTTACCCCATTATATCCCTATTTTGGCCGATTAAATCGGTTCAATGATGTTGAATTAGGTTGGGAAACTGATACTATTAGGCTCCTCGCTCGGCTCTCCATTTTGCTGGAGGTGAATATGGCCAACCATGGCCAACCATAGCTCCTAACAGCTCCTTCCTAACCACGGAATAATTGAAGTGTTTCAAACACGAAAGCATACAAAAACATTGCGTTCAAAATGGACTGATGATGACATACCATAAATCCAACAGTGTTTTGCTCGTAGGCATGGGGGTAACATGGGGTAACATAGATGCTATAATTTCGAAGACTTGTCTTGTCCTCTACGAATGAATCACATTCCTTGTTCCTTTCTTTATTACGATGTGCCAAAGAATCCCTATCATGACGGTGGTGGATTTTGCCATTTTCGTCACCATGCTCATGCATCTGGAATCTGTCATTCAAGACAGGGCTATTAGGAATCCTCCAGAAAGGCCATCGCACAATGTCAAAACCCATGAACTTATCACCGCATTTCACGGTTCGCCATAACTCCCATAACTCAAATAAAGCAGCCAAGCCAGGGCAAAAGAGGCAAAAAAGCTTTGCTCCTCCATATTAGTGGTCAAGGCACAGAATATTCGCTACCTGATAGCGGGCTCGCCGCGGCCAGGAGGGGGTTTGTAGCATCTCTTGGACAACATTTTCATCCCACAAGAATACCAGCTAGCCAACTTCCGACCATTCTCCACACATGATGATCAAATATGTGTGTATTCTGTAAATATAGAGGTACAACGAATATGTATATATATATATACGAAAATAAATATCTTGACATCTTAAACCCACAGTCCAGGCATTGCCATCACCATCCTCATCTTTGAACCGAGGGGCTGATGCTGCGTAAGTTTTCCATGATGGCCCAACCAGCTGCCTTCCAGGTGTGTTGAAAGATGAGACTCCGATTTGTTGCCTCAGCTGGCTGAGATGAGGCCGTGAGAAGAACACAAGGGGCACTGGACATCACTGGAATTGGTTGTGGACAAAACATGGTAACAAGATTCATCAAGATTCAAAAGGTTGCCTTTGCTTAAAAAAACAAAATGCCACAAACATCGGTGCCCTCACCTTTTCTCAAAACATATTTTTGATGGTCAATCTCACGGATTTTTTCATGGGCTTCAGCGCTTAGATTTCTGTGGAAATGCGGAGCCGAGTGGCTCCGCAGGTCACCTGCGCCTTCAGCACCTGTGGATGAAAATCGGTGGGTTCCAGCGGCCTGTGGTCGAAAGCATAGCGGTGACACGGGCTGACCTTGGTTGACCTGGGCCCAGTTAAACCTGGAGTTACAACCACCAGGGCCCCAGGCAACCAGAGATTGATTTTTTTTGCGAAATCCAATGGATTTGGGATGGTCTTCCTCAAAAAGCATGGGGCTATGGGGTATGTATTCCAACCATTGGGCGGTCCAAAGCGGAGCTCAGGAAAAATATGCAGCCCTTAAAGTTAGCGGCTGTTCCTGAGAATCCAAGTGTCGCAAATTTAAAAATGAACCATCCCTAAAGTGGTGGTTTATGGCTATGGCATTGGATTTACCGACAGTTGTTCTCCATGGCCACCTGCCCCTCTTAAAGGTTCCCAGCTGGCCTGGCCCGAACAGGGATCAACGTTCGCACGAAGGGCCACACCCTGTAGCGCACTTGCCTTCTGGTCAGGTGCGATGGGACTCCGCAAAATGACGTCCCCATTGTAGGTGGTTGCACAAAAGCCCTCCCATAAGATCATGATGCATTGGTAGGTGTCCAACCCCGATCAGAAAGTTGTTCCTGTTGTTCCTGAACCCGCTGACACTGAACTTTCTGCCAGTCTGATCGAATTTTAATGAATTCTTTGGACCATTTGGCATGTCTGCAAGTCGTCCCCCATGCGCCGCCCAACAAATATTACCTGCCATTGAAGTGGGACGAGGTGCTTCAATGCTGGGAGGCAGTCGACAGTAGCACTCAAACACTCCTGAGCATGGGAAGAAGTCACGTGAGGACACCTTTTGGGGCCCATATTCACTTCACTTCAGCTCATGGTATTGCTTTTGAACCTGCTGGGAAGACATGGGTGGAAAAAAGGCAAGAACAAACTGAACAAACATGAACAAACCACCACCAGGGATTCTCCATTTTTCCCCTTACCAATATAAACCATCCAGCTATATTGGGGTACCCCCACGCTGGCAATCTCTTCGCCACGCAGCCCTCTTGGCCCTCACCAGCTGCTGTGCCAACTCTGTCAAGGTCTCATTGGCCTTGGGCTGGTGTCTGGATTTTATTGAGATCCCTTCCCCCTCACATTGAATATATGATAATAGAATATGATAGATGTAAAAACATGTAAACACCATCCTAGAAACCCTGGTGAATGAAATCTGTTCATTTTGCAGGCTATGTATATGGAAGTATTTTGATATGTCGAAAACTGAGCCCAAAAGAAACGGCCAAAAACGAAACCCTTAATCAATCCCAGTCATACGGCATCATATGGTTGTAAGTAAAACATATTTGAAATCACCCAGATCATCATTGGGTATAGCCATGAACGGTTAGATCTAGTATATATTCCCACTTTAGATGGTTCATGTTAGATGGTTCAGTCATTTATATCCCCATGTTTGTTGGTTAAATACGCATGACGTTGAGCATGGAGGCAGCCAAGTGGCGAAGTGGCCCCGATCAGGAATGCCATGGCTGTCCTAAGCAGATAAGCACTGGCGGAAAGCGACACATGTCCATCTCTGTCTCAAGGTTTCAACCCTCGGCCTTGCGCCAAGGGGAGTCACCTGAAATTGCATGGATGGAAAAAAATTAAGCTATATATCCAAATCATGAATGTGGATGATTCATTGATGATTCAGTATCCATGATCCTTCAATATCCCAAGGATTTCAGGTGGACCAGCGCGGCCTACCCTGTAGCATCTGGAATAAACCAAGGTTGGGGGATGTTAGGGGTTTCCATATATGTGTCCATCTTTGTGGTCCACCAGTGTATCTGTTGACTGTTGCAAGCCTCTGCCAGTGCCACCGCCCCCACAATGGCGAATCGCCATAGGCCCATCGGTTCGGTTCACTGAGCCCAAATGGCATCGGGGATACCGGCCCTTCTCCCACGCCGCGGCTGGAGACGTGTCTGGAGAGGATGACCTCCCAATGTAGTCAAGGTTGTTCACATTGCTCATTCTTCTATCACTATTATGTTCTACTGCATGTCCAAATTCCGAAGCATTTCCAAGACTGCAGGGATCATCAGCGTAAAAACAGCCTTTCAAAGGTTTTCGTCATCCAGGTAGTGCTAAATTGCACCCAATTCACCTCCAATCAACCAGCATCTTGTTCAGGCGATATCCATCAATGTCCGAGAATGGTTGGCGAATCTTTAAAAAGCTCAGCATTCAGCTCCCAATTTTTGTTGCTTGCTATGGCCCTTGAGATGGTGGACATCTCCAAGTGGCAGGCTTTGGAGCTTTACATCCTAGGCATGTCGATGTTTATCCCCAAACGGGGGGATTTCTTTACAACCAAAAGCTCTTGGTTTATCATCCTTGGGGAATGAAGTCACTATAACCATAAATAACTAACATAACATTGGTTACATTGGTGAATCATCCATTGGTTATAATGATATTCATACCATCCAAAAAAACAATCCCTGGTGTATCATAACCAATAATGGTTCACTATCTATCATTAAGAATTAACTATTGAACAAATGGTTCAATAACTATCATTAAGATACTAAAACTATCTATAACCACTAATAACTATCATTAATCACTATAGCTGCCAATTTGGGACGCTCCCCAAAAATCCTTGGAGGCCTTGCCCATCATCTCTTGAACGTCCCCTTCCGGTGGGCCTGAAGACAGTAAGGGCAGTGGGCATGTCATCAAGGGGCATATATATATATATGATATCTTTTATTATATTAATGTGTGTATATGCAATAATAAAGATCATAGTAATATCGCCAACTAAGTTGCATGAGGAATGCCCCACAAACTGCTTTCAACAGGGAAAACTGGATGATAGATCTTAACCACACTCTCTCCAACACAAAGAGCAGGTCTTACCCCAAAGCATTCCCGCTCACCACTGCCAATCTTGGGGTATCTGACCATGCCCTTAAGGCTGCGGATTTCCCAAATTTAGCTTTCGGATCGGAAGATAGTCCCAGTTTCTTGATTTCCAAAGCCCACTGCTGAGGGGATAGATGTGAACTTTTATATAGTTCTATCACTTTTTGACTTCACTGGGTTTGAAAGGAAAACTACAGGACATCATAGTAGCCAGAGTTTCTACCAGAAAACATGTGGTTTTTCGGTTTGTTCTTTTGCCTTTAATTCTAGTATAACCAGGCCGCCCAATGGCCCCTCCAAAGATCTAAACCTCTAAGCCTTGTGGACAAGCATCTCTGATCGTTTATTTGAACATTTTGGTTGCCCATTGGTAGTTTCACGGAGAATGTGGGGTAAGCAACTCAATATGGTATTTGGGGATGCCCTCTGGTAGTTTGTTCCGGTTTGCGATGGAAATTAGAATTTTACTAGGTAAGTAATCTATAAATGAGCAATTTTCCATCGCTATCTTAATTACCAGAGGGATCCAGAGGGTAATGAAAGATCACCAAAACCGTCAACTGCTATACGAACCACAGGGGCGTAGACCAATTTAACTACTATACATACCAAACTGCCAAGATCCAAAAACATCCAAAAACCAATCATATCCAATGTGCTAAAACTAACTGCCAAGCTATCCTGGTTGGTGGTTTCAACGCCTCTGAAAAATATTAGTCAGATTGGATCATCATCCCAACTATATATTGGGGAGCAAAAAGTGTTACAAACCACCAACCAGTATTCAAATCCAATATCCAATAATCAACTTAGTTGGATTCTCACCCCGTGAATCAAAACCCTACTACCGTGCAATTTGTGCCTGACGTTGCTCACTAAAGCACCACGAAAAAAAACATCCAGTAAGACTGACAATGGTCACCTGAAGAAAAGTTCACCTGCCCACTATCCCCAAGTAGCCAAATCCAATCTGGTTGGTGGTTTCAACCCCTCTGAAAAATATCAAAGTCAGTTGGGATGATTATTCCCAATATATGGGAAAATAAAACTCATGTTCCAAGCCACCAACCAGATTTAGTTGGATAAACACCTACCAAGCTCCCCACTCATACTATGCTTCCCGCCTTCGCCTTCTTCCATCTCCTGTTTATCCACTTCCTCCTGTTGTGCCGTGTCAGCCACCGTGGCCACATCCTCACCTGGGTGTCTTTTCCCAGGGGGGTGATGATGAAATAACTATAGTAACTATGGTGACTATCGTTAACAAGGTGTACAAAGCAACAAAAAGTAGGGGGCACCCAGACTGTCATTTTAATAAAATTTGATCTTGCATGACATTTTCGGGATTCTGTATCTTGCAACTGCAATGCATCTTTTGCACGGAATATCTGATTAAAACCGCTGCTTGAGAAGCAGTGGAAAACACTTCAACATGAAGACACCAACATCATCTTCGCCAAAAGCAGCCTCCCACCCTCTTGTTGAGCGAACAGAAAGGGTGGGTCAATAACATCAGCCAACATTTCTTTCTAAAACTATATGATACCCGATCTCATTGCCATGCTTTAGGCTGATTGTCATTAAATATACATGTGATGCATACATGAGCCACACTGAGTTTTGCTATGATTTGCCATTCGGGTGCTTTTGCAAAGCTTTGAAAGAAATTGTGATTCAGCAGCGCTTTTGCCACCGCATATAGAAACGCAACCCACACACACAGAAACTTCCGAAGCCTGGAACTGAAGAGATGCAATAAAACTTGATCCGTCAAATTGTATCCTATGAGGCTATATGGCTCTTCAATCCAAGGGTTTCCTCCCTCGCTGAAAATACTGGAAAGAAGGGATGGACACCTGGAAAAAAACGTGAACTGTGTCGAGGAACCATCATGCATCACATCAACAACATCCACCAGCATGATGTGCAACAACCTGTGGATCTAATTTGAATCATAGATGTAAAACGGGGTAGCTATATTATTATGTACGTGCAGTTTCATCACTATAGTAACCCCAAAAAATAGACAGACACAAGTCATTGACCATTATTTCAGTCTGCTATGAACATCGACTCAGTAACTGCAAGGTCACCGTTTATTAGGACTTGTCCGTCATTGTAATGTTTCCATCTTCATGAACAAGGTAGGCCCCCAGTTAAAACCCAGGAAAAAGTTGTTGTTCTATCAACCGACAGAACTTCACCTAACTAATAAGTCCAGCAGTTCACCTACTTCCTAAACCAACTTAGCGAATTCCCAACCAGGGCTTCATCTTCCACCCCTTCGCGCCTTCGCCCGTGAGCTGCTGCGCCACTTCCGCCTGTTCCGTGCCCTCCGCCGTGGCCGCTGGCCCGCTGGCCGCGCTGGCGCCGGACTTGGCGCCGGGCATGCCGAGGAGGCTGCCTGGGGATAGGGAAAACGGTCAAAATATGGGGAAATCAATGGAAAACTGGGGGAATATCATAGGAATATCATGGGGAAAACTATGGGAATATCATGGGAATATAGTATGACCATCAAAACTATGGAAATATATGATATAATCATGTGGGTAAAAACAAGGTAAAACAATGTCACAAACCTTCCCCCGAATCATCACTTTTATAGGTGGTATGTTTACGATTCCCAGTCATGGGTGGTTTATGGCATTGTTTTACCCACGTTAAAGAAATCACCATCCGGTGTCAAACAGGGCTGGGAAAATCATGGAACGATTTCTGGGATTTCTCCGCAATGAACATCACTGGGTTAGGGAAAACCTTCACCGGAAACCATGGTCTTCCCCATGAAACACAGGGCCTTCCTCCAAAATTTCCTTGAACCAATCCAGTGACAGAAGGATTAGTGATATTATTTCATGATTTTTGGGAAATGGCACTGAATCCTCATCCTCGCATGGTTTGTGACGCGTTGGAAAATAGCTGTCTACACTGTAGCTTTTTCCCGATTGCTCGAACATTTTTGGTTGGATCTCGGCTTTTGTTGGCCATGTTGTCTTTCTTGTTCCTTGTTGATTGAATCGCAATTTCTATTCGTTCAACCCCCTGCGCGCTATCGTGGCCGGCAAATCGAGTCACCTACCTAGTGCTTTCTGACATCGGCAGCTGCTGTCGTCCATGGCCAAGCTTGGATACCATGCAAGACTCCTAAGCTTCAGCTAGTGAATAGTTTCTTCTTCCATGTAGGGCCAACAAAAACAAGTGATCTACCAAGGCTTCGCATTCGCCACTAGAAGCAACCGATATTGTGCTGACAAGAATGCAGCCTTGAAAGCTTTGACAGGTCCATAATAACCCACCCCCAAACCAAACATGCTTTGGGTTCTTCTCAGGATGGTGATCCTCCATTGAATTTGGGGCAGTAGCCAGAATGACCTATTTCTAGATGATAAACACCGATGATTTCCCTATGAAAGATGGTGATTTCCCAGGCGCCCATGGTCGCAGCAGCCTCCAGACATGGCACCCAGTGCCAGCTGTCCAGCCATCGAACCTCCCAAGGCCTTGGGAGATCTTGGGACCGAGTTTTGCTGCGGACTGGGCATACCATGGGCAGATGGTAATTTTTCACTCATGGCTGGTCAGGTTTTTGGAATTTTCGCCTGCGTTTGATGCAGTTGAATGGGGCGAACATGGAGTTATAATGCGTTGACATTCGCTATTTTCAAAAATGACTGGCCGGGAACTTCCGGCCAAACATGGGCATTTAAACGAGAAAATCAGCGATTACCAAAGGGCGGATATCTTTTAATGTCCAACCATCCAAAAATTATGCATGATACACAATGGGACATCATGGGGGGAAGAGGGTATACAGTGGTGATATAATGGTAGGAGTATAGTTAATTTGGGGTATTGTGGGGGTTTATTGATCATTTGGATTGATACTTCGTACTCACAAGGGGATTTTGCATCTGAAAACTGCTGGGATGGAGAAAATCGTGAGATTTTCATGATTTTCGCAGCCTGAAAAACGAACATGATGCTTGAAACATCGCAATACCAAGGAATGCGGTTATCTTCCAACGGGTTCCTAAGCCCGTCCTTTCGCGAACCGCTGCAGCTCTGAGGCAACTGAAAGGATCCATTGATGTTTTGGATCAGGCTCTGAGAAGTCTTCTGCGTCACATGCTGCATGTTAGAGCCAGCCAGGCCTCTGGATCTGTATATAGACTCATCCATAAACAATGCATTTGGTCTCATTTGGCGTCTTCGCTCTTTTTGTACTCACCAGCTCCAGATTGTCTGTGTGATGGAGAAACACACCGAAGCCTGCAGCACATCTGTAGATTGTATATATATGATCATATCTTCATATTTTGTTCTTATATTGCGAATGTATACATAACAAATGATAATAGGCTTCTGAAAACAGGGTACTACATTCCGCTGGTTTATCATCACTTTCCCCGTTAAACAAAAATGCCATTTGAGACAAACCCTGATTGGTGGCTTCAATCCATCTGAAAAATACTTGCGGATCATCAGCCCAAATATGGTTCAAATATGGAGGTTTAATGGATCAATCCTATAAGAATTGATGATATATTGATATGTCTCAAATTTGAAGCTCCAAGCACTTTTGATAAACCATAGGGCTTTGGGGCCAAGTCTCTCCAAATTAACCGCAGGCCTCCCCATTGCGGACACAGCCGGTGCCCATCCAGTTGGTTTCTAGCCCCCAAAAAAATACAAATTTTCATTGATAAAACATGACAAACCCAAGCAACCCCCAAGCAAAGCCATTAAGCTCATATTTTTACCCAGGACATTCGCCAGACTACATGACCTTCCCTACTCATTAAGCGCTTAGGTAATCCTGGCAACATCTAAGGATTCCCCACCACCCTGACTTCAACCGCATCCAGGTTCAGGTGAATTCTCCCATTTTCTCTTGGTTATATAAGTTGCCCAATTTTTGATGGTTCAATCCCCAACCAACAGCTCTTCAGATGCATCCTGACGGCGTTGTTCAGCATGTCGTTCCCTTGCGACTTCTTCGCCCCCGCGCGGCCATCGCCCGCGTGTGAAGCGCCGCTGTCACCGCCCACGGCACCGGCGAGGATGCCGGGGACGCCTGGTGGAAACCAGTTGGAACTAGCGCTGGTTCAACCACTCATATTGATGGTTGAACTACTCTTCACAAGTTGGTTTCCCCGGAATTGTTGGTTATATCAGTATCCAATTAATTAATTATATTTTTGTTACATAATTATCCATTATAACCATTACATCTACACAGTTGGTGCTCAACTCACATCAACTCTCCCATTGTTCCACACTTCACCACATTTTTTTGACTGCTATTCGCCAGGCTTCCCCAGAGGGCTTAAAGGCTTAAATTCCTGGTTTGGACTGGCTATGACTGTAATCCGTCAATCCTCCATGATCTCCACGAGTGAATCCCCATCCGGTTGGTTCGCCAAGAAATCTCCCCATCGTTGGATTCTCCAGAAATTCTGCGGTTGGTTTCCCCAAATAGACCCACGTGTTTCTGGTTCTACCACCATTTTAGCTGGTTCCATCAGTTATGTTTGTAACCATTAATCCATTATATCTGGGTAAATTCTCAAAATTCACTCACCTGAAAAGTGCGGCTAATATTGGGATAGTTCCCCGAATTTCTTCACCATTGGCACCATGATTCCAGTGACTTAGCCAGACTAAAAAGACTCTGACAAGTGGACATGTGGATCTAATGGGGGTTTACTAAGATAAATATTTGTCAATAAATATTGATTGATTATATATCACTATAGTCAATAAACCATAGTAATTCATATAGTATATCATAATTCCAGATTATATACATCAACCAATGCCAACCATCATACTAACCATCATACAAACCATCATACTAACCAATACTATCCAATATCACTAACCAATACTAACCAATACTAACCAATACTAACCATCATTCCAGAATACATCAACCCGATCTTCCGGATCTTCCCACCTTTTCCACCACTGGGCTTTGCGGCCACGCCCCCTTCGGCCCGTAGCTGGTTCTCCAGTTGTTCCACCTGCGGATGAATATCGCAGATCCGGTCGAAGATCGCACAGGAAAATCATGAGATTTTACAGGAAAATATCCATGAAATCCTGTGAATTCAAGGGTGATTTTCGTGGGTTTCATCACTTTGATCTATTTTTGGACTGGAGCTTAGACCTAAATGGCTAAAATGGACTGGTGAAATCGCAATTTCGGCAGTACTTACATTTATGGATTGATAACTTATGACAACTTTAGCCAAACATATTTAGCCAAAGCAATGCAAGATTTGATAGCAATGGAAGATTCCAATCAAACCTTTGCTTGCAGTGAACATCTGTTTGACAACACGAAACATGTCAGTGACATCTCCCTGGTTTCACAGCCGGTTGATCAATGGGGATCATCCCTAGGATGGAACAAGCCACCAACTTTGGGATTTTCCGGCCATCGTTGGTGACTTAAAGCGCTACTATCATTGTTTAGTTAAGCCACCTCTCGATCAAAAAATATCAACATGGAAGACCATAACTGGCAGATTACTGGCAGGATCCCTCCCCTTATTTAAGACTCGTTCTTGGTGGTTACGTCTCCATGTTACTAGTTACATCATGTAACCATGTTACATCCCACTGTAATTCAAATGAAGAGTAACTACGGTAATCATGCAAGTCTAGGTTGCTCAATTGTCATCTTGGTCATTGGTCAGCGTGTTTTTATGATTTACATCGAAAAATGGGCACCAGATGTACAAAAAACATAGATCTATTTAGTACATATAGATAGATAAATATAGATTTATATAGATAATTTTAGATATATAGTTAACATATCATCTTCGTTGACAAAGAACATTTTTTCTACATTTTGGCACCAGAACAAAGTCATCTCCAAGCACCGCCTGCGCCCCTTCCAATTCAAAGGAACTTCGCACGCGGCCCAGGAGCCATTCCTTGGGTCAATGGGGGGTCTAGGTGAGAAAAAATGGTGTTTTTTTTTTTTCAGGCAGCTTAGTTTGACCTATCATGATCTATCTATCATGATCTATCTATCTTTTGTACCTGAAGAACTTAGTTTGACCACGAAAAACCGCGAATTTCAAGCAGCAAAACTTGGGACCATCAAGACACCATGATGTATTTGAGGCTCATTGACGGGGGCATATGCATGTACGCAATGCATGTATTCAACGACACTTATTTACAACGATGATGTGAATGGTCGGCAGCCTCTATACACGCCAATGTGTACGACATGGCCGAGCGGCCAAATGCACATGGGGCGCACAAAAACTGCGCAGAATTCCGCATTGCTTTCAAGGCCCCAAGGACTCCCACAAAATGGCTTTGTCCGACCATGTCTTCTGAGAACTGTTGGATTTCCATTCCAGTCGGTTTCGGCAGGTTTTAAACATACTGATCTCCCTCAGCCAAGGATCATGCGATGAAAAGACTGTCATGGCGAACGCTCTCAGCGATGCAGAATTGCCACGTGGCTCGAAACGAATTATGATGCAATGTCCAGGTTCAACCGGATCTTCAGCCGGATCTTCATGATGGTTTCATGGAACATGTTGCCCAGAGGACGCAGTAGTTGGTGAATGCCACAACGTTGTTGGTGGCTCTTTCCCGGGTTTTCCTTAAGGAATCCACCACTTCTTTGGAAGGACGTTGGACAGCTATCCGGCTATGCTTCACCATGAGTCGATTTTATGTGTGCCTGAACCATCCTGAACCATGAATGGCAAGGGGTTCTGGGACTTATGGGACCTGAAAGATTCGTCTTGTTCGCGCTGCCAAATGCATAAGCACCTCATGAAACAAGGAGGAAGAACAAAGGCGACCATAGCAAAACAAAGGTTCATCTGAAACATGACAATTTTACATCGAGCACTTGATAATCAAGAGAATTTGTGTGTTTTTTTTTCTCCTGTTGCAGCGAACGCCCAGCGAACGCCCATAATCTTGAGATTCAACCATATTTAGGTGAACATCTTTGCCCAAAACCCTGCTGGGCCAACACAAAAACACATCCTCCTGACCCCCATGTGGAGCAGTTGATAAACCCAATGACATGGAGTTTTACCATGTTTTACCCTTTTGACTCAACGTACCATCTGGGGGTAAGTAAAGAAACTCCAGTAAAGACATCTGAATTCAACGCTGGTGCTGGCTGCATCCACAATGTTAGAGCTTACATCCCCAATATCTGAGGCAATCTCAGAACAAATTACAATATCGGGTTGTGGCAGTGACGCGAGCACAAACCTGGTCATTTTGGCTGTTCGACCATCCATTTTTGATGTGATCATAAGCATGTTTGTAGATGACTTTCCTGCTATGAAAGGGGATGCATGAGCCTCCAAAAAAAGAAAGCAGGCTATTCTCTGAATCGCCACTTCTGGCAAAAAAAACCAACCAAACTACGCATCACCAAGGCTTATCACCCACATCACCCAGTTTTTTTGCAGGGGCGCCAGCATTGCCATCTTCCCGCCTGGTTTTCGCCAGCCAGGGTCGGGCCCCATGGCTGTGGGGTCAGCCAAGCCTGTGGCCATTCGGCTCCCAGCGGAGATGACTCCAATCAAATTCTCCGGAGCATTAAAAAATGTATAAAACAATATCATAATGTGTTTTTATGCGTTTTTTCAATGTATGTTTATATACATGTACACACACACATATATAGGATCATATATAGATATATAGATATACCATTATTGTTATTATTACTATTATTATTATTGTTATTAATTAATATCATATGTATATTTATGTAAGCAATCATTTAACTGATGATTGTTTGCCATGTCCACATTCGACCAGGACGACTGATCTCGACACGGTCATGCCATCGAAAACGCCCACCTTCGCCATCATCTGACCTGGATGATTTGGAGGATTTTTGAGCGTTCCAAATGGTTCCGTGGAGAGTAGATGGGTTATAGTACGGTTATATCAATTTATACCAGCTATGAACCTTCAATGAATCACCTTCTGAAGGTTTCGGGAGGATGTTGAATATTGTTTCAAACGACCTGTGGCTGCATCACAAGTTGTACTTCATGCCAAGTGGCAGCTGAGGCGTCGGGGGCCTTGGTCAGGGCTGTGGAATCAGAGCTGGGCCCCCAGGGTTTTGTGGTGGATCTGTTCGTTCTCCATGCCATATATTGGAGGTGCTTATGTTGGCGGGTTGGATCACCACAACGAGTGGGTTGATCTACCTGAGTCTACCCGTCTAGAGAGGGCTGTGGACTGCTCAATCACATCGAACCTGTCGTTGAGATTAGGATAGGCGGGCAAATGCATGCCACTCCTTCCCTGGGAATGCAAGATTTGTTCTCTAAACATGAAATCGCTCTATGAACATACTTGCACTTGCAAACAAAACAGGGATGTGCGTGAACATCCCATCCAGTCACTGGGACTTAAACTACCCGAACACACTTACAATTAGATTGCAATCTATCTACTTCTATTTGTCATATTACTACAAGTCATCTGTGCCTACCTATGCCACATTTGTTGATACTTCTAGATCCATAGTGGTGAATGCAATATCTGAAAGGCCCGTCAATAACCCCAATATGGGCCCACAAAATCAACAAACCCAGAATAAACAAACATCTTTCCTGCTGTGTTTATTCATAGCTGTTCCTTCATCATTTCTTGAGACTTGACACCGTCCCCTCCTGCGTGTCACTTCCAGCCATTCCTTTTCTGCGCTCAGTCGATGATTCCCAGATCCTGTCCCTTCACTGCACGCATGGGCAGATCCTGCGGCCAAAACATGACCTTTCAGAGCATCGCGTTACATTGGGCGACAGTGTTCAGTCGTTTCTGTAGGAATTTTCTTATCCTCTGAGCCTGATGTTATTCATCCCGATTCTCAAATAGCCTGCCAAAATGTGACAATTTTTAAATGAACCACACCCTTTGCCAATTCTTGTTGGCCCCTTTTTGCCGCAGTAAAACCTCATTTTTCAATTGTATACATGATCAAAGTCAAATCTCCTTTTTTGCGTCCAAAGTAAGCCACAATTGCCACTCTGCTGTGTGTTGCGATCCCAAGATCTTAACGTCTCGCCAACGTTTTGGGTGTCACGAAACCAGCGCTCCCATCGCGTTCGCTCCTTGCGCGCGCCAGGTAGCTGAGGCCCAGGATCTTTCCTTAGCGAACATGTAGGAGTTCATGCAATAACTTCGCAAATCACAAGAAAAATGGGAAAAACTGTGCCTCATAGGATGGAATTCGATGGAATTAATTGGAATGGTTCGTTGGCAAGTTGGGAACCTAACATAAATATAAATATGTAATGTTGATGGTTTTTCTCCATCTTTGATCTTCGGTGACTTCGGTCCAAGCCAAGGTAGCCAAGGTAGCCAAGGTTCATGTCCATAAGGCCGCAGCGTTGGCAAATGTCCTCAGCTGGCCATGGATAGCCTGCCATCACCTTCATGAGGCCCCCCGGCAACTCCATAGCTTCAAACCATCATAAACACTTATAAACCATCCATTTTGGGGATTTTCTGGTACCCCCATATTCCCCTTAAAGCCGTCACTTTGAATGGGACTTTCCGAGCGTCTTTGCGCAGGTCGTGGAAGCCGGTTTGCCAAGCAGAGGAGCACAGGAGGATCCTGGCACATTGGCGGGGTGGGGGATGAGAGGGTAGATGGGGAGGATGAGGATAAGGATGATGATGATGAAGAAGAAGAGGAAGAAGAAGAAGAAACAGAAGAAGAAGAAGAAGAAGAAGACAAGAAGACAAGAAGAGGAAGAAGAAGAAGAAGACAAGAAGAGGAAGAAGAAGAAGAAGAAGAAGAAAACAAAGAAGAAGAAAACGAAGAAGAAGAAGAAAACGAAGAAGAAGAAGAAGAAGAAGAAGAATAACAAGAAAGAATACCATGATGCTGATGATGGATGATTGATGATTGATGGCAGGTGATAGATGATAAATGATGGTGGTTGGTTGGTTGGTGCTTGGTTGGTGGTGGGTGGTTGGTGGCGTGGTAGTCATGGCCACCATGCTGGTCATGTTGGTCGGATGTAGAATTACCACTCTTGTCATCACCACTCATATACTCTCCCTGGGCTTGTCATGTTGGTGGCTACATGCCATGATCTTGTTGGCCTCACCGGTGCTTGTTCTCAATATTCATCAATATCCAATATGTCCATACCTTTGCAACTACCATGTGCAACCATGAGTTTTAACTATGAACAGCATTTGGGTTCGTCTGAAAGTAGGGCATCCCCAATGCCAAAGGATTGCTACAATTTTTCCCCATTTCAATGACCACAAGTTGTGGTTTACCAATTTTCAAGACAAACTCATTTCACAACTTAGGATTCCGGATGTTCTTGTTTACATTTTTTCAGATGCCTTTCCTCCAGCAAGTTTGGGAAAATGCATCTGAATCTGCCTGTTGATTGTAAAAGAATAAGGCCCAATTTTGCTCATCAGTCCCTTTAAAGCCCGGGATTCACATTTTCTCATCATCGCCCCATCCAATCCGGCGAGGCACTTCCGTTCCACGCGCTTGTATCTCTCCAGGTCACTCCGTGCCAGGGAGGCTATTTGGATCAGTCGCTTTCCTGCCGGCGTTGGTTTGACCAGTCGATGTATTGGAAATTCGTTCAGTCATATGTTGTTCAAACTTCAATCCCAATGTTGGCTGATGCAACAAACAAGCAACAAACATGCGGGTAGGTAGCTGGCTTTGTTTCGGGCGTTCCTGGGTAGCTGTTTTATCCGTTGTGATGGTTTTTAACCAACCCCGGCCCGCTCCCCCAATCTTCATGAGGCCCCTTGAGAGAAACCAACCATCGCTGCTTGATTATGTCACACACATAACTCACTTAACTTACACACACATATACACACGTGTATATATATATATACATATCGTGTGTATATATATATATATCTAGATATATATATATATGTGTATATATATATATATATTTATATCTATATATCTAAATATATCTATATCTATCTATATATATATATATATGTGGGGGGGACCTTTGGGGTATATTTCGTCCGTTCCGTGAGAACTATCATATGTACAATTTACATTCGGTTTATTTACAGGCATGTGCATGACAGCGCCCTGGGAATGTATTAACCATTGCAGATGTACTCGAGGAGGTAAAATACATTGTAAATAGACCTGGTTTCTACTAATAAGTGTTGATTTTGCTGCTGCTAAATTTATGTCCTGAAATCAAGTAAGATGATTAATAATCGAAATGCTCATAATCTTTTTTCTGCATCTACCTGCCACAGAGAAGTGACGACTAAGTTACCCTACGTACTGATTCTCTTGTCGCAGCTTCTGTAACTGCTGTTTCTTCTTGTTCTGTTTGTTTCATGTTTGTTCTGTCCGTTTTCCCCACCTGTCAGGTGCGGGTTGTTAGATTTTATGTTAGCCAGCCCGCCTTCCTCCTTCCTCCTCCTTCCTCCTCCTTCCTCCTCCGTCGTCCGCCGGACCCCAACAGCAACCTCCGGATCAGAGCGTTCCCCGCCGGACCTCCACCGCAAGCTCCGGATTAGAGCGTTCCCACCTGGACCTCAACCACGAAGAAACTCCGAAGATATAATGCCAGATAAAATGCCAGAAAGAATTTCGGAAGATATTCCAGATACATATGCCAGAAAGGATGTCAGATAGAATGCCAGATAAAGTTCCAGAAGAGATGCCGGAAAGAATGTCGGAATAGATGCCAAATACATTATCAGAAAGAATGCCAGAAATGAAAAGAATGTCAGAATAGATGCCAGAGAGGATGCCAAATAGGACGTCAGAATAGATGCCAAATAGAATGCCAAAAGAATGTCAGAAAGAATGCCAGAATAGAATGTCAGAAAATATATGCCATATATACTATATATATTTATAGATGAGATATTACTGAGATATCATTAATTATGACAAAACAATGTCATGCTGGGGATCCCTCGAAGTAAAGTAATTAATTTGTTTTCCCTTGTTTGGTTCCCTCTTCTTATTCCTCTTCCTCGTTCTTGTCCTGTGTTTTCTTCCATGTTCCTCTTCCTTGTTCATTTGTCATATTCCTTCCTCTTGATAATTTCTTTTCCTCTTTTTACTAACGTTCCTTGTTCTCTTCCTGCTCTTCTTCCTTGTCCTTTTCATGTTTGACTTTGTTCTTTCTCTGCCTCTTCCATGTCCTCTTTTTTTGAGAGCGGGGGACTGGGGGAGTGCGTTTTTTTGTTAGTTTTACAGCAAGTTGTTGGTGCTAATTGTTCATAAACATCAGCATGCCTAATGTCTCTGCCAAAATGTTCATCCAAATGAAGACGCCACCAACCAAAAAAACAGCAAAAACATGTAAACACTACAATGGCCGATGGGAGGGAGACAATGTGAGAGACTGCCACACCCTAGTAAGATCTAGCAAGCTAAACTATTTTGAAACAGTTGCAAATGCAACCCTTTAATCACCCTTGCAAATTATGAGGCATTCATGTAAAAATATAGTGCTACTTTGGCAGAAGCGATGTCTTCGTTTCACACTATATCTTTCATTCATAAGCTGCATTTTTCGTCCAAGGCAATGCAATACTTCTTTCAAGAAGTAGTATCCCTACGAAATATAGAGGTTTCCCAAAACATGCATTGTTCGTTTCTGTAGAAGTGCAGTCTTCCAAAACATTGTAGTATTAAGTTAAGCATTCAGTATTGCTGTCAAAAGGAGCAATGGTCGATGCACATTGCAGCAATCCTTGGTCGAACTCGATTACTTTTGAAGGAACATACTGCTTCCAGGTTGCAGCCTGCCCTGAAGACAAGACATATATTCCCTTAAATAAATAAACGATATTCTTGAAAGAAAACTGTAATGTGTGGAAAGATGCAGTACATCCTTCAATGGTAAGCCTCATTTTCATTTTTCTGCATGATATGTGCTTTTAAAGGAAAAACTTCACTTCTTTATATGAAATAATTAATTGCTTTGAAGACAAGATAATCCCTGAAACAAAAAACAATATTCTTGCAGAAATACAATATGTGAACAAATGCAATATGTGCTCAATGAAGTTAAGCCTCGCTCCCATTTTTCTGCATGACATTGGTTTGTAACGTGTTTTTTTTTAAATAATGGTGCTTGTATTTTTCGGTTGTTTCACTCATATGAAAGGCCATATTTCATACGTTGTAGTCATTACCTGTCTCTTTCTAAACATATTATAGGTACACTTCTACTTCATAGTAACGTTTTTCTTCATATTATTGCCTGTTTTTCAATCAAATGGTTCACAGCCTTATCAAGGCAACTTTTTAGCATACCCGCACCAACACTTTCTTAAGGAATACAATGATTATTAAGAATAGGTACTCAAAAGATTCAATTCTGAAATGCTGCTGTCCTTCTTCCATAGATTCCTTTACCTCTTTAAGAGAACTTTGATAAGCTGTCGCTTTGAACATGACTTGAGATTCCTTTCAAAGAAAAACTACACTACACTCCCTTTTTAAGAGGACTGTGCAAAATGATGCCGCTTTATGCACGTAATGATGTGACTTTATGCAAGACATGTCATATTCTTTGAACACATATTGCTGCACAAGGCATGTATTGAAGGATTTTGCTTTGAAAAAAACATGCTGAAATTTGTTTGCTGATTCTATTTTCAAGTCTTGGCTGTGCTGTATTTCCTCCCATGGTTTCAAGTAACTTTCTGGGAAGGTGTCCAAAACATGAGAAAATCAGCAAACAATGCGCACCTGGATGATGTCCATGAGGTGCGGCTGAGCAGACATGGACAATGGCTCCTGTCCTTTGGTGATATTAGTAAAAACGTCCATAAAACCAAACAAAAACTAAACCAAAAAACAACCCTATGACCCTATGTCCAAACCACTCATGGACCTCCATTGCCTTCTTTTGTTTTGTCTTTTGACAAGTTGGGGCAGAAGTTGCAAAAGGCCTGGAGAGAACAAAACACACACACAAAGAAAAACTCAAGACTCAAAACACAAAAAACACTCAACGGGGGTCCATAAGTGGCTGGGACATAGTTTTTTTTGGTGTGTGTGTTTAATATAGGATAAGGTTTCACAAGTTAATTCATGTGTGATTGGTGATTAGAATTAAATATTTTGAGGTTTTGAAACTAAGTCATGTATGCAGAAAGTAGCACTCCCACAGTCCCCTGTTCTGTTTTTGTTTGCCGGTCCATTTCCGAGACTGATGTGGCACTCCAACCGTGCCAAAAAGAACTCCTTCATGTCATGATTCATGTCCGATTCAAGCTGAACAAAGTTTATACAATGTCTATAAAACCGCTTCCTTCCTGACCTCCTTCTTGTTCTTCCGCCTTTTCACTTTTTGTCCGCTCCTTTTCCTTCGTCCTTTCGCTCTTCCTTTTCATGTTCATCATTTTTTTCTTCTACTCCCTTTGCCTTTGTCCCCTTCATTTCACAATGTTCCTCTTTTTGTGGCTCTTCCGTGCCTCTTGGACTTTTGCCTTTCCACCTTTTTCGAAGACTTACAAGACCTCCAGCAGTCCCAAAAGAGATTTTCAATGATTTTCATGTACGATACACACTATACATAGTATCAACTCGATCTCGTCCCTGTCCAAAATTGAAAAGGCGGAACAATCCCGGGCCCCTTCATGTAGGATACAGGATACGTGCCTTATACTTGAGAGAACAGGATACGTGCCAGCTTGCACCTTCGTCCTATGTTGTTGTGTGTTTTTCACCTTGCACTTGTTTCCGTGTTCATCTTCCGTCTCTTCTTTGTTATTCTATCCCTTGTTCTTTCTTCCTCTTTGTTTCATGTTTTTTCTCTTCCCTGTCTTACTCTACTTCCTTGTCGCCTCTCTGCCCTTCCTTGGCCAAGGTGAACGGGCAATGGCACGGCGGCAAAATGGGTACTCCCGCGTGTGATGCAGACTATACACATTATATAACCTCTCTTCCTCTGTCTCCTCATTTCAACCGTTGCAACTTCCTTTTAAATTTTGTTATCTCTTTTCTTTTTCCTTTTGCACTTCTTGTTCCAATTGCCTCCTACTTGTTCTTTTCCGCTGTTCTATTCCCTTTCCTTGTCCTCCTCTCTCTTCCTCTTTGTCCTCGCCCTCTTCATTTTCCTTGCTCATGCTCCTATTCTTTCGAATCTGTTCTTGGTCCTCGTCTTCACCAGAAGGAATGAGATTACAAAGCGGAAACATGAAGATGAAAATGGAACACACACACAATGTGGAACAGGAAAATGAACATTGGACATGCCAAGGATAAGTAAAATACAAAGGAACATGACAAGTAAATTATTGTAAGAATTGTGCAGTGCATGCGGCATATTTGTCAGACCGTTCCGCAAAAAAATGAATAAAAGGACAAGGGCAAGAAAGGAAAGGAAGTAAGAAGTGAAAATGAAAAGGCAAAAGGAATAGGGAAGAGGAATTGAATTCAGAACTGGGAAGAGGGAGTGGAGGAGGGCAAAAAAAAGAAGTGAACTTAATATTACTAAGGCCATTGAGCTGATTTCGGTTTACGGATGAACTTTTTGCATATAGCAAAAACCTATTTAGCGATATTCTTATAGATGTTTTTTATTTG